ACAGATAACACAGTAAAAATAAGGTCAAACTAAGGATAGAAGGGGCCAGAGCTAGCCAGAAATCAAGAGTCAAATGCTATTAACATGAAAATGTAGAAGAGGAAAACGGGGAGAGAGACGGTGAATAAAAATGACAAGTGCCTGAGAAAATGTACAGAGAACAAGAGACGGAGAACACAAATAACATTGAGATTGGACCAGACCTGGTTGCAAAAATAAATTATCAGTTTAACACGTAGGCTTTCGCGACCAATATTATTCATAATAAAGGTTTTTGGTTTAGATCGCGTAAGTATAAATGAGTCGTAACCTTCAACCACCTGACACAGCCAGTAAGGTTTGTCACGTAAACAAAGCGCCAATGAGTTACACTTTCAGCCCACCGGTGTGTTGGAGAGTAAACCCACAACATTTACAATTTGAATACGGAGTTTCGCTGGTAATTACATCCAGCATCATCGGGCGATTTGCCAGAATAGTGAAGCATTCCACCTGCTCACGGTCTTAAATAGAGCAAGATGACGTCATCACTGAACCCTTCGGGTGTATAAATCAGAGACGGAGAGGGGGTTAGTGTAATCATATAATAGATTAGTAATCAGTTAATTAGCATGTGTCCTCGAAAAGGAATGCAGTTGTAAGATGTATCTTACCTATGAACGTCATTCTTTGTCTGTCCCTCTGTCTGTGTGTCTGTCTGTGGACGAAACTTGCGAAGGATTTGGCTCGCGAACCGTGGGGTTTACGTAAAAAAAAGTACCCGGGTACCACGCGATAAGCCCCGTGGTGAGCCAGCGCTATTCCATTTTGGCATCCGTCAACTTTAAAGTAGTTAAATTAACAATTTAGTGCCATTGTATTTATTTATTTCCTTATGCCGCTGCACACATTTGCGCATGCGCAACAAAGCTGACCGGGGGTTGCCCCTAGCAACGCACACGCCTTCGTTGAGAGGGGGGGAAAACATTTTCTTTTGCGTTGAAAATGCAAACTCTTCAAAGTGTCATGTCCTCTTCTCCCCCCCCCCCCCCCCAATGTGTGCACTTACTACTATAGGGTCGGTAGATACTAATATTATAGCGCTTAGATACTATTATTGTAGAGCGGGCGGGGGGATGGTGGGGGAGGGCGAGGGAAGCGGCCCAGCCTGCCAAGGTGCCACCTCGGACGGCAGGGAAATCTAGGCGAGGCCGGGGGCTCTGCACGGGACGAGGTCTCACGACGCCACTCTGTCAAGTTAGTAGTTTGTTGTATAGAGTCAATATATACTGCTATAAAGTCAGCATGTACAACTGTAGTGATAGCAGGTACCACCACAATCAGCATGCATTGCTGTAATCATAGTAGGTACCACCACAGTCAGTATGCACTTCTGTAGTTAAAGCAGGTACCACCACAGTCAGTATGCACTGCTGTAGTGATAGCAGGTACCACCAGTCGGTATGCACTGCTGTAGTGATAGCACGTAGCATCACAGTCAGTATGCACTGCTGTAGTGATGGCAGGTACCACCAGTCGGTATGCACTGCTGTAGTGATATCAGGTACCCAACCACAGTCGGTATGCACTGCTGTAGTGATAGTAGGTACCACCACAGTCGGTATGCACTGCTGTAGTGATAGCAGGTACCCAACCACAGTCAGTATGCACTGCTGTAGTGATAGCAGGTACCACCAGTCGGTATGCACTGCTGTAGTGATAGCACGTAGCATCACAGTCGGTATGCACTGCTGTAGTGATGGCAGGTACCACCACAGTCGGTATGCACTGCTGTAGTGATATCAGGTACCCAACCACAGTCGGTATGCACTGCTGTAATCATAGCAGGTACCACCACAGTCGGTATGCACTGCTGTAGTGATGGCAGGTACCACCACAGTCGGTATGCAGTGCTGTAGTGATATCAGGTACCCAACCACAGTCGGTATGCACTGCTGTAATCATAGCAGGTACCACCACAGTCGGTATGCACTGCTGTAGTGATGGCAGGTACCACCACAGTCGGTATGCACTGCTGTAGTGATATCAGGTACCCAACCACAGTCGGTATGCACTGCTGTAATCATAGCAGGTACCACCACAGTCGGTATGCACTGCTGTAGTGATAGCAGGTACCCAACCACAGTCCGTATGCACTGCTGTAGTGATAGCAGGTACCCAACCACAGTCCGTATGCACTGCTGTAGTGATAGAAGGTACCACCACAGTCGGTATGCACTGCTGTAGTGATAGCAGGTACCCAACCACAGTCCGTATGCACTGCTGTAGTGATAGCAGGTACCCAACCACAGTCCGTATGCACTGCTGTAGTGATAGAAGGTACCACCACAGTCGGTATGCACTGCTGTAGTGATAGAAGGTACCCAACCACAGTCCGTATGCACTGCTGTAGTGATAGAAGGTACCACCACAGTCGGTATGCACTGCTGTAGTGATAGCAGGTACCCAACCACAGTCCGTATGCACTGCTGTAGTGATAGAAGGTACCACCACAGTCGGTATGCACTGCTGTAGTGATAGCAGGTACCCAACCACAGTCCGTATGCACTGCTGTAGTGATAGCAGGTACCCAACCACAGTCCGTATGCACTGCTGTAGTGATAGCAGGTACCACCACAGTCGGTATGCACTGCTGTAGTGATAGCAGGTACCCAACCACAGTCGGTATGCACTGCTGTAGTGATAGCAGGTACCCAACCACAGTCGGTATGCACTGCTGTAATGATAGTAGATATTACTGTAGTGGGTATTGTTAGCTTAATACGCCGTCACCACTCCTGACCTGGTGTAGCACCAGCCATGGATCAAACAGGGGGCAACAGCGAGTCCGGCCTGTATCAAGTTACGTCGTTCGGCCAGGGAACCCAGAGGGTGGTTGGGAACCGGAGGTACACACCCGAGGCCCCCAGTGGGGGCTGGGGGATTACGTAATAATCCAGGTACCTCCAGAAGGATCTAGAGAGTAGGCGTGGCCAGGGGCAGAGTGACCCTGGGCACCGTATAGAAGTCGGACCTCTGAACGGGTTTGCCAGTCGTCGTCAAGCAGAAGACCAAAGAGCCAGCCCAAAATAAGACCCTGGGAACCCCCGGACCTGAAGTCCTTGTCAGGGCCAGGACCGAGTGGGCCAGTGGTCGGGACCCGAGTACCTTAGGTGGGTCGGGTCAGGCTAGCCTCCCCTAGGTCCCCCCCTAGCCGGAGGGCTGTAATATAGAGAGTGGTCCCAGTGATTAGGGCACGCTAGCCCGGAGGCCATACCTCCCCAGGGTATCGGGTGAAGGGGGCCGTTACCCCCTTGTGTTAAGGACCTTGTGTTACCGTTATTATTGCTATAAATAAACGTGTTGCCTCTAGAAAAGACTAAGTCTACATCTGTACCCACTACACTACTGTAGAGTCGTGCTTCGTGATGCCCTGTGGGATTGTAGACTCAGACGGAAATCAGAGTTGAATATTCTGGGCTGCTTGCCGTTTATTCACGCCAACATCCGCACTCTCCGTTCCATCATGGGTACTCACTACTCCCTGTCTCTTAGCCCTCTCTCCCGACTCCCTCGATCTTCGTCCAGGCTACCTCGTACTCTTCCACCCGTAGCCTCCTTTGCCTCTCCGGCCCAGGAGCCTTTCTACCTGCTACCTGGCCCCTCTTTCTCTCTGACTCTCCTTTGTCTCTGACCCCTCCCCTTCCGTCCAGGTTCCCCTTTTATCCCCTTAGCCCGGGCTCTTCCCTTTTACCTGGCTCCCCCACTAGCAGACGTCTCACTATTTCTACTTACCCTCCTCTCTCACACTTCTAGGACTCCCCTTTATGCTTGGCCCCCTTCCCGCGGTTGCCCCTCGTTGGGTCCCCGCAGTACTCCTCTACACTACTATAGAGTTAATAGATACTAAAACAGTCAGTATATACCACTATGGTCAGTAAATACTGCTACGGTCAGTAGATACTACTACACAGTCAGTAGATACTACTACAGAGTTAGTAGTTACTACTATAGAGTCGGTAGATACTACTGTAGGGCCAGTAGATACTACTACGGTCAGTAGTTACTACAGTAAGTAAATACTACTATACAGTCAGTAGATACTACTGGCTCAGTGGATACTACTGTGCAGTCAGTAGATACAACTACAGAGTCAATAGATACTACTTACTCTGTTGTATGTAGGGTGTGTAGGAATATATACCTATGCGGGGGTAACTTTTTGCACTTCTGCAAGCCTCTTATCATTTTGTTGGTGGAGAAATGGACAAACGGCCCAACGGTCTTTCAGAATAGCTTAGTAAATGTGTACATATATATAATGTTTTAAAGAGAAGTTTTGAAATATATTTTTTCCCGAGCAACGCCGGGTACTTACCGCTAGTTACTTAATAATACGCTTCCAGGCCGTACTCAGCCTGTAACTGTCAGAGCAATTAAAATTATTTGTATTTCTCTCAATTTCAATGGATTCTCGATTTAGTCTCAGCCAGTAATAATTAGTTTTACACAACACTTAAACTTTATCAAAATCAATTGAGTGTCCTTGTTGGCAAGCATGTTCTGCAACTATCGAGAGTTGTGTTTGAGAGTATTTAATATTTATTTAGTCTTCTTTTAATGTTACGCTAATGTTATGTCCCGTCTGTCCAACACACCAGTGGGCTGAAGCAGTAACTAATTTGCGCGTTGTTTACGTGACAAACCTTACTGGCTGTGTCGGGTGGTGGAGGGTTACGACACATCTAACCCAAAAACCTTCATTATGAATAATAAATTATCAAAACAGCAGTGACGTTCGCTCAAATGACAATCGCAATCACAATCACATTGTGCTTCCGATTGAGTATCATTGACAAAATTATAATTGTGAGTGTCCCCCCCAGGTCTGGACAGAATCCCATTCGACGTATAGAAAAATACACACGCAGGTAGTAGGGGAGATCTACGACAGAACCGTACACCAGAAACAGAGCAGCCGGAAAGGGAAACACACAACAGCAGTTTCAGCAAAGCCTTACTTTCATCTGAGTCACAGCAGCTTGGCGGAGCGGGGCTTGCGTGCAGGCGGGAGGAGCTGCCGCGCCGCCAGTGGCCACTGCCGCTGCATGCGTGCTGCACCGTGCTGACATCGTCAGAGTCATCGTCAAACATCTTACCGTCAGGACCGGGGTCCATGAAGCTCAGGGCTGTGTAACAAGAGGTGGTCAGAAACTCCGACAACCTGCCTGCCTGCACCCTGCAGTGGGAAAGAATGCGCAAGGGGTGCGCGGGGAGGAGACGACAAGAGAGAGGGAGAGATGACCGCGTGGAACGAGGCAGTGCAGCTATACATTGAAAAACCGTGCAGCGCATCAACAGGAGGCTCACTTTGTAATGTAATAACGTACAGCCCTTTGTCAATCCACCACTGCTAGATGAAGGCTTCACCACTCTTGACAGTTATAGAAGCTGTTTGACCATACTTTGCTTCGATGGTCAGTGTGGGTTGTGGGTTTGTAAAAGAGAGGGGACGTAGCTCAGGACCGGTTCAGATATCACTCGCCATCGATGTCAGCCATGGCCAGGAATCACTGCGTCAGTGCTCTAACCCCCTCGCTATATCTTACATTTTGATTTAAAGCTTTCATGACTGCAGGGATTCATATTCTTGGTTCTTTCGGTAAAGTCACGTAGAAGGGAAACAATAAAATAATACAAATATAAAACTGCCAAGTCGCTATCCGTGGTGCTAACGTTAAGAAAAAAACGCCACTTTTTTCAAATTTTCTTGCTGTTGTTTTCACACCTAATGATGATTGCTTGTGTTGCAATCGAAACGTCGTGATAATTTTATTGTTTTATATTTGTATTATTTTATTGCTTCCTTTGTACGTGACTTTACCGAAAGAACCAAGAATATAAATCTTACATTATAAAAGTGACTCTTCTTTAAAATTGTGTTTATATCTCCATGAAGATTACATGCTTTGTGCCTTCGACTGCCATTGCACGTGGCTAAAGCTCCGTGATATTGGCCACCTGTTGTCAAGGGTGGGTCGGTTCAGATAATGCTGATTACACTGTGTAGGGATGCTTTCGTGGTGTAATGATTGGGACACTGGTCTTGCCAACCAGAGGTCGCAAGTTCAATTTCAAATTCTGGCAGCGCATGTAAAACGCATTGAACAGATTTCTTAAATGTTCCACCACCCCCATTCTCTGTCCACCCAAGAGTACAAATGGGTTCACCATAGGATATGTGATCGGCAGTTCTCATGTGGTGGGGTACTGAGATTATTTTGGTGCTCTCAATGTTCAAATGATGGCACAATTTGTTGAGCTACCATTTGTGGCCAGGTCGCTTCTGAAAAATAAGTGAATGCATCAGTGGGCTTTGCCTGGTAGGATGGGGATGGTTTAGTTTTATTTGTGTTTGGGTTGTTTACCTTTCTTGTACTTTACAACTCCTATCATGTGTTCGTACTGTTTATTGTCCTAATGTTCTTACCCTGTGCCACTACTGAACACGTGAAAAAGAGCTTTATAGCTCATCAGATTCCTCCAGTATATATATTTTGATTCTGAAAGTGTGAGTGATTACTCCGACCTTTTTCCAGATCTCGCTAAAATTAAAGCCCTTTCACCAAGAGTGGTTTGAGCAAGGAATTTCAAGGCTGCGCCTTTTTATATTAATATTGTACCATGTCACTGGCCACAAATACCTTGACATGCTGTCACTGCATAGGAGAATGTTAAGGCCCCCAAGAAGTCAGCACAGCCCAATAGGTAGGGAGAGAAGCCTTTCCTGCTTCTGTTCGCACTTATATATAGCGCATTTGGCCACGGTGGCGAGATGTTAAGTATCTCGCCTGGTATACAGGTCGCAGGTTCTATCCTGACCCCGACGCCTGGTCTATATTTGGAGTTTGCGTGTCCCTCTCCCCATGGTCGTGTGGATTTTTCTCTGGGTCCTCCAGTTCTTCCCGACGTTTAGAATCATTGTGCGTTCAGAGTATTTGGCTGACATATATTTCCACATAAGCCACTTTGTTGAGCCATAATTTTTGGCCAGGTCGTTTCTGAAAAAGAGCTCAGTGGGCCTTAACTGGCAAGATACAAAAAATAGTTTCAAACATAATTTATTTATCACACGGGCTTCTGCCTGAAATGTTACTTGCTCGATTGTTACTATTATTCCTTACCTCGCTCCGGCAAAATAGCCGTCTTGGAGTTTCCTCAAGGTGGCCAACACGGCAGGGTCAACCTCCTTGCCGTTCTCCGCTGCACGACCACACACACCATACAGAGGGAGATGTCAGAACCCGGCAGATCTAATATTATTTTACATTTATATAGCGCCTTTAATCGAGGAGCTTAACATAATAAAAGTGCAGTGTATAAAAAAAATGTATTTAGATGGCAGGGGCATGCGAAGGATGAGTTATGGGTGACCGCGATAGAGGGTGAGTAGGGGATATGGAAGGGTTAGGGAGGTGTTCACAATAGAGGGGTAAGTAAGGGATAGGGAAGGGGATGGGAGGGAATAAATGGAGAGGCGGGGGGAGGGAATAGATGGAGGGGCGGGGGGAGGGAAGAGGAAAAGAATGGGCAATGGAGAAGAGGTGAGCTTTGAGAGAGGAACGGGAGGAGGTTAACGGGCCAGATTGTACAGATGCAACATAAAATCAAAACCAACCCATAGGTTGCTGCCTAAATAAATACTGCTGGAAAACATTTATCTAGAATGCCCATTGGGTGAGAGACTTAATAATACAAATATTTTTGTTGTCGTTTGTTTTTCCCCCCAGTGTTAACCCGACTGATGCTGTCGGCAATACACAATGAGATGAAGGATCCATTCTGATCTTTCACACAGCAGCGCGACCCTCAATGCTAGAGAATGTCCCACAGGAACCAGATATCACAGAGCTGCCTCTTAAATCCCTTCAAAGTGCCCTCCTCTGATCCACAGTGGAGGGCAACACTTTCCCACCCACTTTGCTACGGAGAACAATGTTCGTCGCAAGAAAATCAAACCAATATTTAATTCCAGGAGCTGAAATTTAGCCAATTTATGTGAGTCGCCAAATTTATTGGGATGGATTTTTGTACAGTCATTGGTCGCCGGGCTGAGAACATAAACTCGCTACACTTGAGAGTCTGTTTAATCACGGGCTGCTGCCCAGATTTGATCCCAGGATCTCAGCAGTGCCAGTTCAGAGCTCTGATCTCAAGACCCAACCAACCACGGCAACTTGTATGCAATTTACAATTCTCATTTTAACGACGAAGGCGAGAGAATCAGTGGACTTCCATGTGCGCCAACCCATCGTGCCAACATCGTTTGCCAGCCTCCTCACTGAGCATGGTGTGCGTGACGGGGAACGTGACAGTGGGCCTCCCAGTCATGCGCCAGCGTGAACACAGGTACGACAGATCCGTGCGCAGCATCTCCACGATCATGCGGCTGTCCAAGGCCAGGTAGAACTGCTGCTCATCTATGAACTACACACGCAGAGGAAACGGCAGATTAACCAGGAAGACCTCAAGTGCATGTCATAAAAAAAACGGTGCAATTGCACAACTCCAAACAAAATAAACATTTATTGTACTTATGGAGGTCTAATATATATGCATTGTTATGCATTTGTTGACTGTGTATAATCAGAATCATTGTGCCCACATTAGGTGAACCGAGTACAGTAAAACCTTGGATTGCCAGCATAATTCGTTCCGGAAACGTTTGTAATCCAAAGCACTCATATATCAGTTGTGATCACGTGACGCTCGGCAGACAAAGCGTATACGTACTACTCGTATTGCAAGACCTTGCTCGTTTATCAAATTAATATTTATTTTAAAAAATTGATCGTCTTGCAAAACACTCACAGACAAAGTTACTCGCAATCCAAGGTTTTACTGTACTTTACCATACTCCAGGCTCCTATGGCAGGGGGTACACACTCAAGTGAGGCTTTACCGGCTCAACAATCTAAACAAATACATTAAACTCCGGTCATCCTCGCAGCGGCTTTTGGTTCGCCATGGAACAAAGACGGTCACTGCATCGCGCACATTCAGATGTGCTTCTGCGGCTGTCTGGAATGCTCTTCCTTACGATATTAGGAAGCCACTGGAGCTATACACTTCTAAATCTAGATTAAAACGAATTTCTTTAGAACTGCTTTTTGTGTTTAGTTTGTTGTACTCCCTCCGTACCTCCGATTAGTACGGTTGGCTACGTGCGGTGCGAAAGAAGTTCAACATACAGTACATAACGATGAAAAGAAAAAACTATCTGGCACGAAAGGAAAGAGTGGCACCTGGGGAGTGAAGGCGAAGATGTTGTTGCGGATGACGTAGAGCTTAGATGTTCCCAGGACGCCAATGTGATGGTACGGGCGGCCAGACAGCTTCAGCTTCTTGTTGCGGCCTTCAGCGAAAGGACATTCGCAGCACCGTCATCACCGCACTCACGGTGCACCACGTGGTCGCACGGCCTCCAGCTACTCAAAACAGATCAGTGTTTTAAAGTGCGTGCATGTCACGGGTCAGGTCTCCTTTTTTTTATAATGAACCTTTTGTGGTTGAGAATCAATGAAGGAAATAAAAATACTATGGAGAAGATGCCATGACAGCCAATATGAGCGGGTGGGCGGGGGGGTGGCATTAGAAGGCATCGTTGAGTCTCAACTCTTATACAATGTATTTGTTGTGGGGTATGATGCTGCTGTGATGTATAATCCCAACTAAGTACTTTGCAGGTAATTAGCATTGCGATGTTTGGCTGATGCCAGTTACCATGTATGTTTGCTTTGAGCTATAGGAGGAAACTGGGAAAACCCAGAAGTCACCCATGCAGAACAAGGGACGAACCTACAAACTCCACGCAGAAAGGCGCCCGAGTTGAGAATTGAACCTAGGGCCTTCCTTGCCGTTAGGTATGAGTGTCACCATTGCGTTGCAACCTTGCCGCCCAAGGCAATAAACGTGCAACAAGTGTAGGGTGGTGGCGAGGGGGCATGCGTGCCTCACCCAGACGGGCATAGATGTGGCTAAGGATGCGCGCTGGCTGCACGCGGATTGGGTGGACGTCTGCCGTGGTCTCCACCATGAAGCCGTGGCTCTGCAGGATCTCCTTGATCTCATTCGTCTCGGCCAGGACTGCCACTGCACACGCGAGGGGTCAATACGCAAACGGGACCTTTGAGCTCTTTTTTTGTCGTCGCATCGCAAGACATGTCGTCCAATCAGAACACTCGCAGAGCAGCACACTGTGGAAGTAGACATCATAGAACTACCCCAGAGATCCTTTCTAGTCGAAGTTTTTTAAATATACCCCAGGGGGCAAAATGTCCCCCCCCCCCCGTGCACATCTCGACAGATTATCCAGATAATTTATATGAATAAATTAATAAACGGCATCCCAAAAGTCTTGTCCGTACTAAAAGCGAAGAAAAAGTGACTTGTGCCAACAGCCCAAGGTAATTCAGTTCATAAACAAATACGAATGCATACACGACACAGGACAACTTTATGGATTGCACTCAAGTGTCTCTGCCAGTGACCATGTGTTGTTGCGTGGTTGCCCTCTGAGGTGCTCGTTAACAGTACTTGCCCCAACGGTCTGTGAAGTCTATATGGGGGGGGGGGGAATCTTTGTCTCTGTATTTCCCCTCTGCAAGAAAATGGTTCCCCATCCCTGCCGTGGCATAACGCTGGACTGAGCCGTCACCGCTTAGAGTGTGGGGGGGGGGGGTCGAACCTTGCACGACGACATCTGGCTTGGGAATAGTCGACAGGCGTCTGTTGAGAGGGTCGATTTCACCGGGAGCCAGGAATCCCTGCCAAAAGACAAATGCACCGACCGTGTCCCACGTCGCCACTCGAGTCGCAACAACGCTCAGTACACACCATAGGAGAGGGCTCACTTCGTGGAGACTCTTGCACGTGTTACGTGTTGTGTCAATCCACTGCCGGATGACAGCCTCCCCGAAGGCGTGGGTCATGGGAGGTTATACGAGCGCTGACAACGGCAAATTTCTTAAATATTGATATGCAGATGCTTATGTTTGTTGGTTAAATAATCTACTATACTTTGCGTGCAATAAGAAAGGGCCATTGCCTGAAACGTCACCTATTCCTGTGTATATTTCCATTTAGAGCTGTGTTATTGACGAATGCGTTGAGTTTTTGTTCATCTGTGCTTGTGCACCACTGCCAATGCAGCAGCAGCATCACCACATAATCTGCTTCAGAGATGCGACGGCTCATTTGACATTTTCTATTTAACAAGGGAGACGTTTTCTCGCTCAAGTTTTGGAACAGTGCCAAGTTAAATGGACAATAGAGTAGTTTCAAACACAGTTGAGCTCTTTGATATTTCTAATTTCTTATGTCGCTCATATGGTCTTTTTGCAGAGCATATTTGGTCTGCAATCACTTTAGGAGTAATCATCTCAAAATGCCCAACCAGTAAAAATAATAAGTAATGAATATGAAGGGACAATTCTTAAGGTTTACAACAAGATTGTTGGCAATTTCACCATACAGTGGTTTCTTCGCATTGTGTGATGAGGTCATGGGGTCATTTACGGTAAATTTATAGGAGAGGACATTCTTTGACAATGTACATATGTTGAACTCCCCAGGTGCCACTCTTTGCTTTTGTGCAAGATCGTTTATTCTTCTTATCCTTATGTATGTTGAACTTCTTTCGCACCGTACATAGCCAACCGTGCAAATTGGAGGTACAGAGGAAGGACAACTAAGCACAAAAAGCCGTGTTAAAAAAAAGTTAACAATTTAATAATCGTCCCCAAACCCTGCTCATCATCTCCCATGCAGCATTAACAAAGAAAATCTTACCCAACTAATTTCGTGTTAATCTCCAAGTCAAGCAATTGAACCGCTAAACGACAGAGTAAAGCGATTGCTTATATAGTCACAGATTAGAGCCGGGCTATATTGATGTCCACCGAACGCAGGCGGAGTGGGGCATGCATGCAAGTGCCACTGTGGTTGTGCTACCTCTGCCAGCAGGCTGCTGAGGATATACAGAGACTGCCCCCACATGTGCGGCAGCTTCCCAGCAGAAACCCGGTCCACCGTGTGCGGCTTGCGGTACTCCTCCTCCATCTAACAGCGGCGGTGCAGGAAAGACAACGCACATGGCAAGACTTTATGAAAGGAGCCATACCAAACCCACGTTCATCGTCCTGTGAATGGCCGCCCCATCCGCATCGGGAGGGGAGGCACGCGCATTGTGTGACGTAGAAAGGTGACGTCTCACGGAATGCTGTCATTACGTTGGCCACCAAGGATGAATCCTTTTAGCGCTGGTTGTTTTTATCGCCAACTTTTTGGTGCCATTTCTTAATTTGTTGCTTCATTTTTGAGTTTGGTTGGTAAGTAAAGGTTTCATTTGCTTGGTAGTGGCTGTATATGGGATTTTGTCCATATATATAATTCATGTACAGCGTTATGGGATATTAGCATATATGACGCTCAATAAAATGTAAGTATTACTCTTAACTTTTGGGGAGTTTTTTTTCTTTCTTGATTTAGTTCCTAATAGCACAGGTTTATATGAAATGTAACGCATTGGATTATATTTACGAGAGTTACCGTGCCACCCGCTACAGACAGACAGCCAGATCTAATTCATTAAAGTTTTCAACCTTACAGTCCCATGAGCCCAGACCAGATATTTAACTTGTCAGTACTGCATGAGGTGGCATTACTTCACTCACTCTAATTTCTACATGTGGCCAACAACAGTGACCTATGTGATTACCATGTGAAGCGATGAGTTAACTCTTATTGGCCGTATAAATAAATCAGTACGACTCACGTTTTGCTATCTTAAGTGGTACTGGATTTCTGATTTGGCAACCAGCCTGAGTCGGAAAGCGTTCATGAGCTACACTTGGGAACCGGGTTTAAACACAGGCGGCTGCCCGGATTCGAACCCAGGGTGGTCAGAAATGCCGGCGCAGCACTCGGGAGCTCCGAGTCACCCCCGGACGCGACTATTGGTGTTTTAGCGTTGAGCTTCGTGCACCACCTTGTCAGGGGGTACGCAGTACAGCTCCGGCAGATACCGCAGCCCGTTCTTCCCTCGGACGAGGATGGCCTCCAAGGCTTCTCGATACTCCTCAACCTATAAGCACGACACTTGCATTAGTACGGCTCAAAATGCCTGTACAATTATTCAATCTCTCTTTGTAACCATAGGCAGCGGGGTGGAGTGGTGGCAACACACGGCGCAGTGAACCCCGCCACCTGAGTTCGATTCCTACCAGAGGTAATCCCAGAGACAGGTCATATCTGAACCGGTCCTGGTTCCCCATCTTCACCAATCCACACTGACCAGCGTGGTGATGTATTATTTTTATCATTATTACGACGCTTGTTTACCCATGAAAACCTCACCAAGTCTCAATACACTTTTTTTAGGAAAGTCCTGCCAGGTTTTCACAGGAGGCGGGGATGTTAGTATGTGTAATCCCAATTGAATAATTTGCAAGTAGTTTTTGTTGTATTGGGATGTTTTGCCAATTCCAGTTATATAACAAAAATATTCTTTATTTACTGTGGGAGAAACCAGAGAAAACCCATGGGGAAAACAAACAAACAGTCCGTAATGTATGGTCAAACAACCCCCACGACCAACAAAGACCTGTGAATATTTATATGTCTAGGGTCTGGTAACCACTGAAGAATTCTGTGTGTCCGACTGGCTTGTAACATATTGAGGCAGCAGCCGAGGAGGTCATTGTCGTCATTTTACCTGCTCGTGGTTGTTCATGAAGACGCCGTCGATGATGAAGTATGTCCAGAACACTGGCCACTCGCACTCAATGTTCTCAAACAGCTTGAGCTCGGCAGGCTCGTAGTACAGACGGCTTGGGTCCTAGTGGGCAAGCCATCCGCCACACCAAGCAACGTGGAATTTAACATTCATCAATTCAGCTTGGTGGCAGACATCAGTGCAACAAAATTCAATTGTTGTAGTGCTTCTAGTCTTCTACCCACCCACCTTTACCAACACACACTGACCAGCGTGGTGAAGTATAATAAAATAACCCACACGGCCCACATGGTGTGGGGACTTGATCATCCAGCAGTAGATTTCCCAAGAGCTGCACATGTACACATTAGACGTGGGTTCCACATTTAAAACATTTTGAGTTTTATGATTTTTAAGGACAATTTTGTACTTCTGGATTATGTAAACATTTAACACATCTTCTTAAATGGCATCACAAAATGCCATGTGACCACTTTTGGAGGGGAGAAAGCAAACGTGACGGGTGATGTCGCTTTAAGTGACATCATATTTTAGTAGAATTACAAAGTATTTTTCTTTTCAGATCATGCGAAATTTCGTGTCTAGACCCAAAGTTTTGTGTCTAGTTTTTATTATTGATCATAAAATCGAAAAAACATTGCAAGTACATGTACACTTGGTAACCATCATTCCAGATTGGGACATTATCAAACAAACGGTATTCAGCAATCACACCTTAAAAGTCATTATCACTCTGTATTTATCATTCATAACTGAGCAATTTCCATTCGTGATTCAACATTTATCATTTGTGCCTCATCGTCTTACCTATAAAAGGCATTTTTTTGTCTGTCTGTCCATCTGTCTGTCGACATAAACTTGCGAAAGATTTGGCTCGCAAACCGTGGGGTTCGATGTGTGTGTGTCTAAGTCGATGTGTGTGTCCAAGTCGATGTGTGCATGTGTGTGAGTCGATGTGTGTGTGCGAGTCCATTTGTTTGTGTGTGTAAGTCCATAAGTGTGTGTGTAAGTCGACGTGCGTGTGAAAGTGAATTTGTGCGTGTGTAAGTCGATGTGTGCGTTTTTTTGTCCATGTGTGTGTGAGTCCATGTATGTGTGTGAGTCCATGTATGTGTGTGTGTAAGTCGATGTGTGAGTCTGATGTGTGTGTATGAGTCCATGTGTGTGTGTAAGTCCGTGTGTGTGTGTGTAAGTCAATGTGTGTAAGTCAATGTGTGTGTGTAAGTCACTGTGCGTGTTTGTGTCCGTGTGTGTGTGCAAGTCGATGTGTTTGGGTGTGCGGGTCGATGTGTTTGAGTGTGTGGGTCGATGTCTGTGTGTGTGTGGGTCGATGTCTGTGTGTGTGTGTGTGTGCAAGTCGATGTGTTTGGGTGTGTGGGTCGATGTGTTTGGGTGTGTGGGTCGATGTCTGTGTGTGTGTGTGTAAGTCGATGTGTTTGGGTGTGTGGGTCGATGTGTTTGGGTGTGTGGGTCGATGTCTGTGTGTGTGTGTGCAAGTCGATGTGTTTGGGTGTGTGGGTCGATGTGTTTGGGTGTGTGGGTCGATGTCTGTGTGTGTGTGTGTAAGTCGATGTGTGTCTTTTTCGCCCGGAAAATGCTGGGTACTTCCCACTAGTTTACCAATAGGCACAATTATCACCCGCAGTCACGTCCAAGCCAGAGACGTATATTTTGTGAGCTCACCTCTCGCGGGGTTTTGTGTCCGTCTCTGAGGAAGCGACAACAACCATAGCGGCCCTGAAGGGAGTAACGGAGAGAAGGGGGGCGGCACCAACCATTAATTTACACCAGTGGTTCTTAACCTTTACTGCAGCCTTGCACCCCTTTGGGTGTCAATCGTGAAAAAAAATGTTAATACATATAGGTTTGATAAAACAAAGGCATTGAAGAAGAAAAGTCATTGTACTTGCGTTCCCATGCTTAATTTGTATTTCGATGATTTACCTTCTAAAAAAAATATGGCATGTTTGGCACCCCCAGAAAGAACATATTGCACCCCCAAGGGGTGTGCACCCCAGGTTAAGAAACACTGCATTAGAGACCAGGGTCAATGTTATTTCACAGCAATGATTCAATTATTAAATTATGATTCGATTACAATGCAGTAGAACCCCTCTTAACAATGGTAATTGGCTACCTGAAAACCAGTCTTTAAGTGATTTGGTCATTAAGCAAATATAGTAAATACATGTTAAAGGTTTAATTCGTTCCCATAGCATTGAAAGTTTTTTTTACCCCAAAAACGTACTGTAAAAAATTTAAGCAATAGATATGAATACATAAATATGCGAACATTATAAACACATACTATTAAAATAAACATGGTTAATCAATGCATTAATTAATATTTACTGTACCAACAACAGCATGTCGTTAACAGGGGAATGGTCGGTAAGAGAACACATTGGGCTCTATGGAGGCCTGACGTTAAGCGATTAGTCGTTAACAGGGGTGCTCGTTAAGAGGGGTTCTACTGTAAACTGTTAGCGAAAACACCCCAACTCTCTGCTTGATTCCTTCTCTCTCGGCTTGCAAGTATCTCCTCAAAACATTAGTATTCAAGCGAGCCTTAAACTCTACTATAATTACCTTTCTGTGAATGGGTGAGTGGGTCGGTGAGTGGGTGGGTGGGTAAGTGAGTGTTTGAGCAAGTGGGGCGGAGGAGCAACGCTCACAACCACAAGCAGAGCACCGATAGGGTGAAACATAGCAAGTTGGCACAGTGGAGAGCACAGGTGGTGCATCTGCCGTCATCTCAATCAATCAACCCATACCACCTGTGTCTGTGCTGTGAGCTCTTTCAAGTCACCCTTCGAAACTTCACTTGGCCTCAAAGTGTACCTAGCATGAAACAACCTCCATGGTGACATCACCACCACTTAATGGCGAAAGGCGGTTGTTGTTATTGTTGTTGGGCGAGTTGGCGCGTGGCTGTGTGAGGTCGACTCAGCCTCCAATGAGTGCCTGGTGGGTTGTGTAAAACAACCCCACGAGGGAGACAAAGACCGTCAGGCTTGGTGCTGGCGAGCCACCAACTCACGCGCTGTGCCAGCCTTCAGAGGTGCTCGCCAACAGCACTTGCCCCTACAGTCTGTTAAGGCTATACGGGGGATCTTTGTGAGTGGGTGGGTGGATGTGCGAGTGAGTGGGTGAGCGGTTGGGTTGGTGAGCGAGTGGGTGCTTCCTTTCTCTCCTTCCCCTTCGCAGTCTTCGTAAGTAATTCTGTGCTCAGAGTCATTTGTTACATTATAGGTGCATGAATAATTTTAGTTTGTTGTTATGGATACCACCCGAAATATAATAGTGATAAATTATGGAGAAAACAGTATTTCATTTCAACGCTCCAAAATAGCATCAATAGGTATTAGATGTTTTGCACGTATGTATGTTGAACTTCTTTACCAACGAATGTCGCCGAACCGCGCTTCTCGGAGGTGTGGAAGAAGGAAGTAGCCAGTCTGACGTTTCCCTCATCATTCAATGAAGCGCAAGATGAGGATCATCATAAATCATTGTGTTGTCTATAAATGGATCACCCTGTATTGTTATTATCATTCAATTATACAGGTGTAGTGAGTCCAACTGAGTCGCAGACGTTGTTCCTTTTTAGAGGCAACACATTTATTTGTAACACGCAACACAAAGGGGTAACTGCCCCTTCACCAGATACAGCCTAGGGTGGTGACCACCCAGCTAACTACTCTATACAGAGGAGTTACTGCTACGAAGGGTCGGGCCTCACTTGGGTTCGCGACCACTTGTTTGCCTCGTAAGACGTAGAGCTTCCAACTTGAGACGTAGAGCTTCAGCTGGCCTCTTGCAGTATCAAGTTGAACTTCTTTTGCACCTTACTTAGCCAACCGTGCTAATCTGAGGTGCAGTAACACAGCTAAGTGAGGTGTCTGTTATAAATGTCGCCCACCAAAGGCATTTGAAAGACATTCGGTCCTCAATAAGAAGAGGTTCCCCACCCCTGGTTTACACACACACACATACAAAGATTCCCCGTATAGCTTATTCAGGCTGTTGGAGCAAGTGCTCCGAGTGAGAACCGTGCCCGGTCACCTTTCTCTCCCTCGTGTTGGTGTTGTACCCACTGCACCAGGTACTTATTTAAGACCCAGTCAACCTATGGGAGGCCCAGCACCTGTCCGGATATTCGGCACTCTCACCCAGGCGTACACACCTGCAACTTGGAGGTGATCTCATCCTTGGTGATCATCACAAGGTCTATGTCCTCGACGGCGAACGCGGGGTAGGAAATGATGGAAAGCAGCCCCGCATCGATTTCTTTGGACGTGGACGCCCGTGGCAGCATGGAGTGCAGGATCGACTGCTCCGTCACAACACCGCCCGCAACGAAACACACGGATCATTGAGCCAGCGAAGGGGAAAAATTGCATCATACACTGACAGAATTGTGTGTGTGTGGCCAGATACAAATTGGTCACACACACACACAATTTTCCCATATAAGACACACCCCCGACTTTTGCTTTAAAATACTGAGTAAAGAAGTGTGTCTTATAATCCAGAGAATACAGTATTCAAACAAACAGGCCAATGCTGCATAAACCTTGTGACTTACAGGGGAGGTTGCCACTGGGTATCCCCTAGGATAGGCTGCCGTAGGGCAATGGAATGGTTGAGATGAGCTGTGATGCAAGGTGCTTTGAGATGCTGAGATAATTAAGTAGCCTATAAATGTGGCAGAGTAGATTGGCAGTCAGTGAATTAATTGGGTATCTCGAGATTGATACCCCCAGATATTTGATGTACAGTCATACCTTGACAAATGCTGTTTTACCAAACTTGTGTTTAAGCTATACACGGTTTATTTATTGAGGTACGTTTTTCAGAACAGAGATAATATTTCGTATATACGAGGTTTGTTTGCATGTATGCACGTATGTTGAGCTTCTTTCTCACCATACACAGCCAACCGTGCTAATCGGAGGTACGGTATGTGTTTACTAACAAATTGACGTTTGATCAATTTGTAAGTGAACACACACCAGTGTCCAATCAATGGGCAGGAAGAGGCCTGCAGTTGTAAAATATTAGGATTCCCATTCCTCAGAGGTGGCACAGTGGCTCAGAGGTTGCAGCGCTGATCTGGCACCACTCAGGTCCTGGGATTCAAACCAGGCAGCTGCCCGTGATTAACGTGGGTCCCTCATCAAGTGTGGCAAGCTGATGGTCTCAGCCCGGCAACCGATGTCTGCACTGAATATAAAACATCGAGTCAACCATAATGTGACCATCATTTGTCCTTGAAGCAGGGCATAAGTGGGGGGAATCTGGCCCTGGCGTGGATATGAGGTAATCTATTCCATTAAATCTCCCTTAGCAGATTGTTATCTAGCACGGAGCAGATTCACTGATCTGCGAGAGTTCCGAATAAGTTATTCTCATGCCACGACGCTGTTAGCATATCGGGGATAAAACTGGGCCAAAAGTAGAAATAAATATTAAGTAAGATGCCCCTGCTCCTGATAACTGCTGTACATAAGATTCTACAGAATAGTGTCAGTTCTGACATGTGACCTAAGGTCACAAGAGACCTTCAAAATAAATGCTGCCATCAAGGCTTGAGTTTGGAGTCTCTTGCTCATTGGCGCTAAGGAGGTAAGGCAACAATTGTATTAAAAATGAGACCATTCGCATGCTCATGTGGAAAAAAAAACATCTCATGAGTGAGTGATTATGAGCACAAAGACATAGAAAAGGCTTCTCTCCACCCAAACCAGATGTTTTTAGGAATGACAAGTCAAGATTTGAGCAAAAACATAAAGAAGAAAAGAAGCAGAGTTACCAGTAGCTTAAAAACGTATGTAACGATTTCTACATATAAAATATTTACCTAAGCTCACATTCCCATGCGTCCAACACAAAGTTGTTGTTTTTTTAACATCCATTCCCTCCTTCCACCACACCACCTTACCAAACATTCCTGCCTAGTTGGAGGTTGGTTCACCATTGTGTAACCTCACGTGATACAACACTGGATCTCCCTAGGCGGAGGGACAGAGGCACAGAAAGGAATAAGGCCACGGTGGTTTCTGCGGACACAGCTGAGCGCAGTGTGCCACCAAATTGGCATGGGCCAAGGTCCGGCATGCGGTGAACTAGCCATGCAAACGCGGGGGTAGGGTTATGTAATTTCTCCACTGGCTTTGCGAGTGCTATTCTCCCCCATTCCCATGCCGAGTAGCTGTTAACAACTGCGTACAAAAAAAAAATACTGCCATAAAGGTCCCATTTTGTAGCTGCTCACCCCAAGCTATAAATGCTCTGATAATGCATTGTCTTTGTACTGCTAGCCTTTTGCCGTTCTCTGGTCTGACACTGGTGAGGCTACATCCTAAAGAAGGTTGTCTCCATTGTAGATCAATCAGTCTAAAAGATAATGCATCTATTATCAGAGCACGTTTGTTTGCATGTTCACCACAAGTACGTGTGGTTACTGTCGAAATGATTACTTACAAAAAGGTTTCTATTTGGTGTTTGAACATTTTAACACGTTTCATTTCCAGAAAGAATAAAACCTATTCTTATTTTTTCATAATTGCGCACTATTTTTTTAAATGTTATTATTTTAAATGTTTTGAACATTTTTGTAATTTTGTATTAAACCTAGCATGCCCGGGTGGCTAAGCGCGACAAGTGCATTTCGGGTGGCCGAAGGAGTAGAAAGCATTGGAAAAACAACTACTGAATGTTGATCCTCATAAATTGAGACTTTACAAATGAAAGTCTCATGATGATGGGAAGTTCTCATCCCTATTAAATAAACAAGACCATTACAAAATTCACTCAAGACTGAAAAGGTTCTACACTTCCAAACCACTTGTTCGAGCATGGGGGACACCTTGACTTTGCATGTTCTACATGCCAAAAAGAACTAAATATAAAAGATTGAAAAACGCAACCTTAACGCATGATGGCAAAGGAAAACTCAGCATAATCGTCAATGACACTGCCTTAAAAATAAAAATGGGAAAAAATAGAAATAGGTGTCATATATCCGGAAATGGCCCTTCTCAATTTGATATACCAATAGGACCTATAGCTGGTACAGCAATTCACAAAACCCCAGTTTTCAAGGACCTTTGCAAGGCGGTTTTATAAAAGAACGGTGACACCAAGCACAGGGTTTCAGGAGAAAACAATCTGTCGCTTGTCCAACATCACAACTAATTCAAATCGGACAAGCCTGAGACAGAGATGAATTCACTGTACTCGTATCTCCTGACCGCACGCTTGCCGAGTGACGTTACATTTAGTAACGTGCCACACTTTTCTAAGAAGCCACCCTCCTCCGGTCGACATTTATTTTTGGCGCAAGTTATTCCTGGTGGTGATATTGACGTGACCCAGACGAATGCCTCGAGGCCCAGGAGCATCGTCAAGTACCCTGCCTAATGGACAACCACATTGGCAGCGCACTTCAACTTCTCCTCCGTCTAAGCCAGAAGTCCCACAACTGCATCGGATCGGCTGCTCAGATCTCTCCTCTGCACGTACTCCTATTCGGCGCCTCTCCTCCCGTGGCGTCCGCTGCCCTCATATCTCATTCCAATGCATCTTTCCAAGTCAAACACGGCCTCCCTCCGTTCCTTCTGTCATATACAGGTGGCATCTCCTTAGGCCTTCGAATTCCATATTATTTGTGTCTTCTCAAAAGCGGACTTCAACCGCTCTCATATTTTCGGTCCTCATATATCCCTGTCAAGCTGTATAAGGTCACATGCTTCTATGCATGTCTTGTGCCTAATGGCGAGGCATATCTGTTATTTAAAATAGATTCTTACATTCACAATACAAGGATAATATTGTCCTGTCCATAAAAGAATACATTATTTATGACCTTTGTAAATCATATGCATAAGATACGTGAAAACTACATACTGGTAAAAAGTGGACCAAACTGTACAAACGAGATGGTAAGACGAATACAAATGAGGGAGAAAAAAGTGACAAAAAATATCAATTCCTGAATTTAATCACGACCCTGAATCTGTACAATTCATCGAATACCTACTCAGAATTGTAAACAATAATAAACTTTAATTTATCAATAGAAGCCGCAAGGAGTTGTAAAACTCCTGTCAGAGGCATATACCTGCTGCAGGCTCGGAGAGAGGCAGGAGAGGACAATGCAGCGAATTAATTGTTGTGCTGTGCTTATACGCTTTCACCAACCCACACTGACCATCGTGGCGAAGTATAGTAATATAACCCCCGTAACCGACATGGTATGGGGAGGCCCTCATCCACTAGTGGATTAAAAAAGAGCTGCACATGAACAATGTTCGGAATCGCTCAGCTCCTTCCCATTCAGGGTCACGATTAGGGGAACATTTAGATATCATTGTTTATTTACACAGAGGAAAATATAGCAACCTCCAGTAGTTTTAGAGATCACAAGGTATGTGAATACAAAATCATTGACTCTTACACATGCAATGTGACACATGTAAAATGTGAGCTTCATCATCATTAAAATAAATTGATTAATAGATATATGACAACACATCTACTCATTTACATTCATGCAATATTTAAAAAGCTGATAATGTGCTTAGCTTAATGCTAAGGTTGTAAAAAATTACCAAGCAGCTGCAGTCGTAATATAGCTGAACTCTGAGTAAAATAATTTAGCAGTTATTCCATTCATCAAAAGCGAAGCCAGAACCCCGTTTTGTGCCTCCACTATTTGATATCCAAATAGGCTGTCAGCAGTCAGGCTCATGAAGCAAATGCCGATGGATTATATATGTATGTTGAACTTCTTTTGCACCGTACGTAACCAACCGTGTTAATCGGAGGTGAAGGATAAAGGCAAGAAACTAAACACAAAAAGCAGTTCTCAATGAGTAGCAACTATTGGCCAAAGAGCACTCATTATAAAATATGGGACAACGTTCAAAACGTGTGGAGACACAGAAACGAACTGATCAAAATGTCACTCATCAGCTTTCTCACACAGCTGTCTAGCTAGCGCTTTACAAGTTCTGGACACGAAAGCGTTGACAGATGCGAAGGAAAATCATTCCGCTTGTTTAGGGCCTTTACCTGGCAGTGCTGGACTTCGTCAGGAAGCACATGGATGATGGACTTGGGGCCCCCATGTGCTCCAAACAAATCCAACTCGTCGATGGCCTCCAGCGCAGCCTGCGAGTGAAAGAGGGCAGAGTTGGGCTGCTTCGAAACACTAAGGTGACGTTTAATCCACGAGACCAGAGTGCAACACTGATGAGACGACGGAGAAAAGTGTGGCTTGTGTCTTTGCCCATGCAATATGGTGTCACTGACTGAAAGCATCCATTAACAATGCAAACAATTGGATTATGATAGTGCATATCTGATGCTTATATTTAGTAAAACATTTGTTTTGATCGTCGTGGTCATGAATCTTAAAGAACAATATAGTACATTTAGTATTTGTGCCTTATACACAATAGCTACGGTGAAGTCACTATGTTTCACAGATGGGTGAAGTCTGCTCGCAGGGGTGACGCTGCTATGCAGTTTAACAAAATTCCCCATTTGGACCATGATGCCGGCACAAGTGGCCTTTAACCAACAAGGTCATGGGCTATTTCCACATCCACTGTAAAGCATTTGGCACATAGTATATATTGTTAATACACCTGTAGCATTAACCAGGGAGGGAGGGGGGAACTACTGGGCTTCAATCACAAACCTCTGCGAAAATCGACAAACGCACTACTGCTCGACCATGTCACATCCAGTGCCCCTGTGAAATATTTGCGCAAGTCAACAAAACAGTGTCAGGCTACAGAAAGTTAAAACCAAGTACAGTAAAACCTTGGATTGCGAGCATAATTCGTTCCGGAAACGTGTTTGTAATCCAAAGCACTCGAAGATCAAAGCACTCGTATATCAGTTGTGATCACGTGACGCTCGGCAAATAAAGCGTATACGTACTGCTTGTATTGCAAGACCTCGCTCGTTTATCAAATAAAAATTTACTTAAAATTTTTGCTCGTCTTGAAAAACACTCGCAGACCAAGTTACTCGCAATCCAAGGTTTTACTGTAGTTGAACGCTTTGTTGCACAAACCTTGGCAGTGCCAATGGAGCTGGCATTGAGCTCAGGGATGCCTTGGTTGGTCTTGTCACCTCTCTCCCACATCCCATAATCCTTAAGCAGGAGAAGTGCAGCATTAGTGCATCAACACCACTGAGAATTCCTCTTCTTGCAAAGCCACGGAGCACCACATGAAGTATAAAGTGTAGAATAAATCTGAACCAAATTTCGATTTAAAGCTTTCATGACTGCAGGGATTCATCTTCTTTCGGTAAAGTCACGTAGAAGGAAAATAATACAATAATAATAAAACATTATAAAACTAAAATTCTCACGAAGTTTCGGCCACAACACAAGCAGCCGTCCTCAGGTGAAGAAACAGAGCTGTCGGAAAGACAGCGCTGTGTGTTGTGGCCGAAACGTCGTGAGAATTTAATTGTATTGTTTTATTTTTATTATTTTATTATTTCCCTTCTACGTGACTTTACCGAAAGAACCAAGAAGGAGATCTGAACCAATGACCTTACAGGAGCAATATGGTAAAAAAAAGAGATTAAGAAGTATTAATTCTATAATCATAACAGCCATTACAGTAGACACTAGTACTTGATTTGTACATTCAGCATCACCCTTAAAGTAATCAATAAATTAGGACATTCATTTTTAGAAGCATGCCTTCCTACTGTGTGACGCTGCTCTTATGGTTCCCTTTCAAATTCTTGAAGCTTGCGGTTTTAAGTTTGAGGTTTAGAATACATCTGTCATATGTTGCCAGACAGCAATCCTGATTAACTGTTCATGGTCACAAGAAGAAATTCCTAAAATCCTTCAACGAACACTATGAAATATGCACAAGTACAGCCCATTTGACGGGGGACGTTCTAAACGCCGCATGAATAGCAGTTTTTTTTACCATGCTTCACCACCGCTGGTCCATGTGAATATTGAAGGCAAGGAGCAGAGACACAGTGGCATAGAAGTGCAGTATGGAAAGTTCTCGCTTAACGTGTGATAACACAACACATTTTTGCAACAATATGGTTCTTCTATTTGGGAACACTTTTCGCACAAGGTGGAACACGCCAATTAAAAAGCGGGTTCTGAGCGGTCGACGTCAAACTACTTTCCTTTGCTGTGTGGTTGAGCAGTAAGGTGATACAGCACACGGAATGATACAGTATATGCAGCGTACCCTCATCTCAGTTAATTGGCCGCCATGTGATGACTACATGCCCATTTCATCTCACAAATGGGATTGAGTACAGTCATTCTTCGCTTAATGCGGCACTTTTCAGGAACGCATCCACCGCGTTAAACAGAGAGATTTCTGTACAACAATAAATTTTCCTGCACTTGCTCTCAGCCTCCAACCTTGTACTTTCTGCTGTATCCATGTGTTTTAGACATATCGAGTTGGCTTCCAATTTGGGCTGGAGCCCGAATTCTCAGGGACGATTTTGTTTATTGGGTTGGCATGAATTCCCTATGTCAGAATATGTAATGGACAGACAGAACGTATATAATTAGACATCCTCGGTACTGACTTTCCTAACTCACGTGATGACTAGGATACATTTGGAAAAAAAATGGAAATGCCACTTCTTAAATCCTTTATATTAAGTTCACTTGCTTGCTTGCTTGCGCGCTTATGACCGTGCAAATCTTTCGGTCGTTTTTTAACCCACTTCCCGTGATCCAATCGAGCTGACATTTTCCACACAGACTCGTTGTGCGTGACAATTAATTTTCGTGAAATTTTTTTCCTAAATTTTCCACTTTTTAGGAAAAAATATATATATTTAATTACCAATTGCTTAATGGTGCCAGGCAATCATCTGACCCATAGGTGGCAGCCATCTCAAGCCAGAAGACGAGAGAACTCTAGCTGCCACGCATATAAAGGATTTATAGTGAAAAACTTTGTTTTTACGGGTTAATTTTTTTTTAACCAACTTGACTTGTTCATGAATTCAAGTTCTGCGAGAAAAGAGGCCAAAATCGAGTCGACTCAGCTGCTCAAGGAACTGATGTATATTGTTGCATTTAATCTTAAGCTTTTAAAAGATGACTGCATAAGACACTCACCGCCACTTTGTATGCTGCCTCAATGTAAAACACCAGGTTCTGTATGAAGGCCACTTCATCCAGTGTGAAAATAATTCTCAGTCCTGCAAAGCACAAACACAACAAACGGAGAATTATGAGAATTTAGACTGCAGAATTAATCATTCAAATATCTCAAAGTGGGGAGGTATTTGATGAGCATATTTCATAGGCTTTAGCTATTGAATACATAGCCAGAAAAGTGAAAAAGTTTAAGCAGTTGTTTTTTCCTGATTTATATTTGCTTCATTGCTGTATTATTTTATTTTTTTGCCTTTGTCATTTTGGTGACCTGGGTCACTGTTGCAATTATACTATGCTAGTCTCTTGACTTCTAACCCAGTTGAACAGATTAAACTGCATTTTATGTATGTTGAACTTCTTTCACACCATGCATAGCCAACTGTGCTAATCGGAGGTGCGAAATCAATTATACTTTAAAGAGGTTTGAAGCCAAAGACACGAACACAATCTTCCAAGGCAAGCTGGAATGTTCAACCTGTGATGGTGATGGAATTCATAATTACCAACTGCCTCTATTTTTTTGCCATGGTTTTTACAACTTAGCAGAAAGTACATAATTCAAGGTCAAGTAATATTAGCAGAAGACCAGGCTGAGCTCAGACTGCAGTTACCACTGGTGACATAAGTGGTTAAGAACTGAACATGGCAATGGGCCAATACCAACAATACAGGGTTGCAATACCAATCGAACAACGTGATGTACAGCTCTATCAATCCACTGCTGGATGAAGGCCTCCCCAACCCGCACATTAGTGTGGGGTGGTGAAGGGGGTGCCCTGGTTCAGATATCACTCACCAGTGATGTTAGTAGTGCCTGGGAATCAAACTCCGGTCCCTGGGTTCATAGCGATGCGCGAACCATTGTGCCATCACTCCACCCTGATGTTGCATGGCTATCTGATAATTTTGCAATCAGGCATCGCAATTGTCTGTAACACCCAGTACTCGCGCATGCACATGCACACAATGAAAAATAAAGTACTATTTGTGAGCACCTATTAAGGCTGGCACATCATACCAGAAGTGTTTATGTATACATGCACTTTACAAGGTAATCATTTAAGGCTAAGTTGACCTAGGCGTGACCAAGGACCAGATCAGATATTCACCAATGATGTTACCTTGAGGCAGGAAATCGAGCTTAGGTCGCCAGATTCCTAGCACAGGCGAGTTAAGCACTACGCCAGCACTCCCCACACGCAGACACGCACAAGCAGGAAGGGTTCCATGTGACATCCCTTCCATGGAAACAGCATGCCCAACACTCTTATCAGGGTGCCACAGTGGCAAGCTGTTAACTACCTCGCTTGGTATACACGTCGTGGGTTTAATCCTGGCACCTGGATATTTGGAATTTGCTTGTTCTCCCCGTGGTCATGTGCATTTTTTTCCAGGGACCTCCGGTTTTTCCCTCCACATTTATAAGCATGCTTTAGAGTATATGGCTGCTATAAATTTCCACATGATAAGCCACTTCGTTGGGCTATCATTTGTGGCCAGGTCTCTTCTCAAAAAGAGCTACATAGCTCAGTGGGCCTTACCTCGTAAAATAAAAAGTGAAAAAATAGTTTTTATAAATATGGCACATGGCAGTGTAAACCCAACACCGTCCCGGACCTGAAGCAGTCATCTGAGCGAGGATGAGCAGGTAGAGGGAGGTGGCGTCCACCTGCAGGTGACCCCACTGGTCATCCCCAACCACCGTGCTGCACGTGGCCGTGTTGTACTTGGCATGCAGGCAGTCCGTGGCGCTCTGGGTCACCTTGAACTTCTCCACCTTGTCCACCTGTCAAATGAAGAGCGAGTAAAATCCATGTTCTCAGTTTACTCGCGTGGCAACTGTGCGGCAGCTGCAGAATGTGGACGAGGGTAGACAGCGTTGGCGAGGTGTAGGTGGTGGCATCAGCGGCTTTGGCCGTGATGATATTTTGATCTTGACCTTAGCGCTTACTCAAAAGCTGGAATGTGTGCAGCTTTGCTGTCAAGGTTCACACGTGCCCTATTTATAGAAGGCTGTCCAGAGGGAAAACATTCGAAGTATAGGTGTGGTGTCAAGGTCAGTTTAACGCGGTAGCACCATGGGCGGTGCTGTTGATGGCACCATATTTCTCCGTCGTGCCTTAGTTTCTGCTAGATCCTATAGCTATGGGCTGGGGAACCTATGGCTCCTAAGCCGGATATGGCCCGCAGTTTCATATTACACATTCACGTCGAAACCAAAGAAACCAGTAAATTCAAATAATATAATTCGATCGCATAAATAATCCTACTTCATCTGGATGTTTATTTCATAATTTCAGAGCCTACCAGTAGTCAAAACAATAATACATCTCAATTGGTTATCACAAGGTTGAATGAAGGACACACCACTTAGAATGTATATTGAGAAGATCAATTGCAGGCTTACCTGTCTCATCATGCACTGTAGCAGCCCTCGCATAAGCTTCACCACGCTCTGCCAAACACATAAACAGACAATACACACTTGTAAGTGCCTGCCAGTCTCTATGCAAACAAAACATGAAGTGTTGACTGGATCCACTTTGAGTACAGTAACACCTCGCGGAACGCAGCGATTACGTTTCTGGAAAATTCCGTGTTGGCCGAAACCGTGTTCGACAAATAATCAACCTTACGGGAAAAATAGGTTTATATTCCTGGGTTAGAAATGATCACCCCCTCCCTCTTTTTTAATTATTTCTACACAATGTCCCCCCTTGTTATTGTAATCAAGGATGCCGAGTCACCCTTTCTTGTGTGTGTGTGTATGTGTGTGCACTCTTTATTTTTCAATTTTACCTCAATACAAATGCCCCGTCTCCATTACCCTTCACGCACTGGGCAATCACGGCCAACGCTCGTCCCTAACACTAAATTGCCAACCCGATGCTTGCCCCTAACACCGAATCTCCGAACTGTACTCCCCATTCATCCATATCTTTATGAACCAACCAACGCCCAAGTTTGGTGTAATGAGTGTGGTCTGTCTAGGTATATCACGGTCACTTGAACGTTAATGATAAGCCATCAAGGTGTCCATATGACTGACGTCCTCAACGAGTGGATGGCTAAAAGCCTGCGGCAATGTGTGAACATTTACGTTGTGCATGAGCATGTGGAGTGCGCTACAATGTCATATAAAAACACATATTTGGTAAATAAATAGTTCTCACAGTCAATTCAATTCACACCACAGTCCCTTTCCAACGGATGCAGAATTCTCACCTCTCGCAAGCGTATCTAGCAACTGAACTTTTGCACTAAAGTTCTGACTTTTCTGTGTGTTTTCTAACTCAAATCACCACCGCTCAACTTACGCTTAGGGGTCACGATTAAAAGGTGAGACTGCATGAGTATTGGGGAGGGAAGATGGCGACGAGATATTCATCCGCAAAATCTACAAGCACAGTGAGCTACATCGGTGCAAAAGAAGTTCAACATACATACGTACAAGCGGACCGAGCACTACATTTCTATGCGGACATTCTTAGCAGGGTCAAACTGCGTAGAGTCGAAATATCACCCCCGTGTTCTGGAAAACGTACGTCAATAAGTTAAGTTAACCGTTCAATAAAACAGCGTTGGGCAAGGTATGACTTTATATGACCAAGATAAAGTATTGACTTAAAGCTTTCGTGACTGCAGGAATTCATCTATCTACGTGGCTTTACCGAAAGACCCAAATAATAAGATAAAGTATATTAATTTGTTTGGATTACACAACTCTGGAATCTCAGAATCGACAGGGAAAGAGTAGTTACATACTTATTTACAAGCTATCTAAAGAAGACCTAACTTTTTGTACAAAAGTATTAATTGGGGTGCTGTCATTACAAATCAGAATCTGAATATTTATTTATACTGGAGGAATCCGATGAGCTATTAAGCTCTTTTTCACAGATGTCCAGTAAGGTCGGTTAAGAACGTTACATCTTGGATCCTCAAAATTATTCCGAACCAACATATTTCAAGGTTGCAGACCCCCCTCTCCCTAAAGGAGATATATATCAGTATAAATGAATCACTGAACTGAAATACTTGGCCTGGTTTCATACCTTATATCTATCTTCCACGACACAAAATATAACCAAAATCTAATTATTGATGTTGAAATCTCCCTGGACGTTGGTTGCATTGATGTGGGATGAACCAGCAAGCAAGACATAACAAGCAAAACAGAATAACAAGGCTAAAAGTACAAGGCAAAAACAGAGTACGTGCAATATAAAGGATGAATTAAGTTTACTTCAAACTAGATTTTGGCATTATTAAGATCTGAAAAACATAATTATAATTTCATCTATTAAATGGTGACATTCAAAACATAAACAACTGTTATATTCATAATTTCTAAGGAGGAAATCTGAGAGCTCTTTCAGCACTGAGTCAGTACAGATGTTAATGTGACGCACATGGCGCGATACGGTTTCACGTTTGGGTAGGATATCCTAAACTTAGCAACAGCATTTGGAACAGCATTGAATCATCACGGAATTTCTTAAACTGCGATGGCTTGGCCCACCACCTCCATCCCAGGTCGTCATAACACTGGCCGCTCGAAGGCTCACCTGCTCCAGCTCATAGGCCTTGGCCTTGTCCTCATCTCGGTCGGCGTTCTTGCGGTACGCCATGCCGAGCCCCCACACTGCCAAGGATGCAGTACACATTGTCTCGCACCCACGCATCCGGCTGCTCTGGGCTGGCGGGCAACAGCCCTGTGACAGCGTTCTGTCATGGAGAAAACGTCAACAGGGTTAACCGGGAACTCTCTACAAAATGCAACCCCTCTCAAGGAGCCCGAGAACAAAAGCGCATGTCACAGGACATGACACACTGTTAACCACCATCGTGGAAACTACCCAGCCTGCTTTGTGCAGCTATGACATTGCTTCACAAAAGATTCGCCAGATGTTGCCACTTCCCAAACTTCTAACAATCTGTTATTATCACAGTATGGAGTACAACACCTGCTTTGAAAATGCAATATGTATTTCATATCTTCACAATTTTCAGTTTTCAGTTTCATTTATTTGGTATAGCCCTGTGAGCCATTCGGCTCTTGAATCGGGTGCAACAGCAACAAACAAGAAACAAAAACCATGAACAATTGCCTGCCTCATGCATATTAACTAAAAATAAAAAAGGGCCTCTACAAATACCACATTCCCACTTCCAACTTGCACTTGCGATAAAAGCGCAAAATCAAATACTTACGAACACCTGCACTTCCGAAACAGAGCCATTACATATATTTTTAAACATAGACTTAAAACGCGAACTCGCACTTGCAAACTGAACCGGGGAACTATTTTGTTCAGCAGAGCGATTCTCCACAAGATGTAATGAGTTAGCCTCGCGCTAGGAGTGAGTTTTGTGTATTGTGTGTGTGCACGTGCACATGGGTGCGTGTAAAAGGGGGTGTGTGTGAAAGTTATTGTGGGAGTGTGTGAAAGTGATTGTGTGCGTGTGTGTTTGCACCCCCATGTGTTTGTGGGGCAGCGGTAGTGCAATGATTAGCGCGCTGCGCACCAACCCAGTGACTCAAGTTCGATTCCCGTGACCAACACAAGTGACGATTATCTGAATGGTTCCTGGGTCTTCCCTCGGTCGACTCAGCCTCAAATGAGTACCTGGTGCAGTGTGTAAACATCACCACTGGGGAGTCAAGGGCGGCCTGGCGTGGTGCTAGCCACCCACTCCCTTGTGTGCTGTGCTGGCCTTCATTGGTACTCGCTAACAGCACTTGCTCCAAAAGTCTATTAAGACTAAAGGAGGGATCTTTGTGTGTGTGCCCGAGTGCCCCAGTGTGTGTGTAATTGTGGCGACTCATTACGCCCATTCTGACAAGCAAGCCACCATCAGGACTCGTGCATGGTAAGTGAAAATAAGAGATTTTTTGTGTTACTTTATTTTATGTTTTAGTCACTGTACAATATTTATTACAGTATTACATGGAAATGTACAATATTTCTTCTTATTTATGAGTTTAACAATGCTTCCCTTTTTTGTTGAACCGTAACAGATTCTATAACACTGACCATATGTGCATTTGAATACTGTTGTCACTGAAAATTATTAGGATCCCACGTTTGCTTAAAGCCACAAAACACATGCATAGCTCCTTGCGAGCTTCCTAATTCTTAAATTGGGTTGCAGCACACCTGTTACCGAATATTTCTTCCCTAACCTCATCCAAGTTTTCCTTAAATTCAAGTACGTGTGTGCTTGTTTGGCCGATTCACTAAAATTGCCAAACACCTTCTGTGGAATGCTCAGTGACCTGATCCATCCAGAGGTATAACATTATAATTTAATATCCAACAGAATTTGTCCTGTTGTGGCAAAGTTTCCGTGCAAGTTCAGTTTTCTGAACCTGATCAATATATTGAAGCTATTTCAAAACAAAACGACTGCTTATAGAAATTATACCTGATTTTGAATACATGTTGGTGTGAAAATGGTCTAAGAGTGGAGGAAACTCCACTTTGATGGCTTTATCATAAAACTCATCGACATAAATAACCGGTGTTGACCTCCCTGCAATGTTGGTGGCGATGATTTTATCTTGAACAAAACTTGACCTCAAGACTTGACTTTCAAAATTCTACTCTGTACACCAGCAATTGACATGCCAAATGTGACCATCTGTGTATATTTAACTACACAAGCACTGAATGTATAAACGAATGCACAAATAGCAACAGCCGCTATTCACCACTAAATGGTAGTGGCGTCACCACGACGCTTGCGCCAAGCTAGGTGCACTTAAAACCAGAGGTGGGACAAAGTCATTGTTATGCAAGTCCAAGTCGAGTCTGAAGTCATCAAATTCATGACTCGAGTCTGACTCGAGTCCACACCTCAGAGGTGGGACAAAGTCATTGTTATGCAAGTCCAAGTCGAGTCTGAAGTCATCAAATTCATGACTCGAGTCTGACTCGAGTCCAAGTCACATGACTCGAGTCCACACCTCAGAGGTGGGACAAAGTCATTGTTATGCAAGTCCAAGTCGAGTCTGAAGTCATCAAATTCATGACTCGAGTCTGACTCGAGTCCAAGTCACATGACTCGAGTCCACACCTCAGAGGTGGGACAAAGTCATTGTTATGCAAGTCCAAGTCGAGTCTGAAGTCATCAAATTCATGACTCGAGTCTGACTCGAGTCCAAGTCACATGACTCGAGTCCACACCTCAGAGGTGGGACAAAGTCATTGTTATGCAAGTCCAAGTCGAGTCTGAAGTCATCAAATTCATGACTCGAGTCTGACTCGAGTCCAAGTCACATGACTCGAGTCCACACCTCAGAGGTGGGACAAAGTCATTGTTATGCAAGTCCAAGTCGAGTCTGAAGTCATCAAATTCATGACTCGAGTCTGACTCGAGTCCAAGTCACATGACTCGAGTCCACACCTCAGAGGTGGGACAAAGTCATTGTTATGCAAGTCCAAGTCGAGTCTGAAGTCATCAAATTCATGACTCGAGTCTGACTCGAGTCCAAGTCACATGACTCGAGTCCACACCAGCTCAGAGGTGGGACAAAGTCATTGTTATGCAAGTCCAAGTCGAGTCTGAAGTCATCAAATTCATGACTCGAGTCTGACTCGAGTCCAAGTCACATGACTCGAGTCCACACCTCAGAGGTGGGACAAAGTCATTGTTATGCAAGTCCAAGTCGAGTCTGAAGTCATCAAATTCATGACTCGAGTCTGACTCGAGTCCAAGTCACATGACTCGAGTCCACACCTCAGAGGTGGGACAAAGTCATTGTTATGCAAGTCCAAGTCGAGTCTGAAGTCATCAAATTCATGACTCGAGTCTGACTCGAGTCCAAGTCACATGACTCGAGTCCACACCTCAGAGGTGGGACAAAGTCATTGTTATGCAAGTCCAAGTCGAGTCTGAAGTCATCAAATTCATGACTCGAGTCTGACTCGAGTCCAAGTCACATGACTCGAGTCCACACCTCAGAGGTGGGACAAAGTCATTGTTATGCAAGTCCAAGTCGAGTCTGAAGTCATCAAATTCATGACTCGAGTCTGACTCGAGTCCAAGTCACATGACTCGAGTCCACACCTCAGAGGTGGGACAAAGTCATTGTTATGCAAGTCCAAGTCGAGTCTGAAGTCATCAAATTCATGACTCGAGTCTGACTCGAGTCCAAGTCACATGACTCGAGTCCACACCAGCTCAGAGGTGGGACAAAGTCATTGTTATGCAAGTCCAAGTCGAGTCTGAAGTCATCAAATTCATGACTCGAGTCTGACTCGAGTCCAAGTCACATGACTCGAGTCCACACCTCAGAGGTGGGACAAAGTCATTGTTATGCAAGTCCAAGTCGAGTCTGAAGTCATCAAATTCATGACTCGAGTCTGACTCGAGTCCAAGTCACATGACTCGAGTCCACACCTCAGAGGTGGGACAAAGTCATTGTTATGCAAGTCCAAGTCGAGTCTGAAGTCATCAAATTCATGACTCGAGTCTGACTCGAGTCCAAGTCACATGACTCGAGTCCACACCTCAGAGGTGGGACAAAGTCATTGTTATGCAAGTCCAAGTCGAGTCTGAAGTCATCAAATTCATGACTCGAGTCTGACTCGAGTCCAAGTCACATGACTCGAGTCCACACCAGCTCAGAGGTGGGACAAAGTCATTGTTATGCAAGTCCAAGTCGAGTCTGAAGTCATCAAATTCATGACTCGAGTCTGACTCGAGTCCAAGTCACATGACTCGAGTCCACACCTCAGAGGTGGGACAAAGTCATTGTTATGCAAGTCCAAGTCGAGTCTGAAGTCATCAAATTCATGACTCGAGTCTGACTCGAGTCCAAGTCACATGACTCGAGTCCACACCTCTGCTTAAAACACACATGCAAACACACGTACTACTGAGATCGAAGAGCCCCCCCCCGAATACAACCACAGATAGATGAGGGGGAAAAAACTCAGGGCTGTCTGTGTGAGCAACACGACGACCAGTTTGCCTGCGTCTCCCAGTGTTGACGTGTGCTTACCCCACGAGGTAACTCATTTTATGAATTCTAGACTTGAAGCTTTCGTGACTGCAAGGAATCATATTCTTAGGTGTTTTCGGTAAAGTCACGTAGGTAAAACATCAAAATTAATAAAAATAATAAAATAAAATAAAGATCACGACGTTTCGGAGGCAACACAAGTCATCAGAATGTGGTAGCCATTCATTGGCTACCACATTCTGATGACCCCCCCCCCTCTCCTCCCCCCTCAACTCGCTTTTAAGGGATTACATCTTGAATCATTGCCTCACTTGATGCAGCTGATCTGGCTGTGACTGTCCCACCTGATGACGGAGACTTGTGTTTCCTCCGAAACGTCGTGATCTTTATTTTATTTTATTATTTTATTAATTTTGATGTTTTACCTACGTGACTTTACCGAAAACACCTAAGAATATCATTTTATGAAGTTGAACAATAGGGAGCCAGAACAGGATAAAATACCACGTTGCACGAGTGTTACCTGTGGAACCCAGGATAAACACTGTGCCACTGTTTAATGTTGGATTTGACAAAAGTAACACATTCTAAGATGCGGATTTTTAGTGTATAAAATGTGATCGAATCTTGCGGTAAAGGTGCAGCCGTGCAAATGCGTGCCACTTTAGAGAACACCTCTATCTAGAGAAGGAGTCCCGCAAACTTCGGCTCCGGAGCCGGGGAAAAAAACCTTAAATCTTAAACATAATTTAACGTAAAGATAATTGATTAAATATGGCACGGAATGGGTCACTGTTGAATTTTTTGTGAAAACAAGATGTACAGTCATATTGTATTGTTGAAGAATAATTAAGGGGGGGACTAACTAGAGGCAATTTATTTCATCACCTATTTTAAGTCAGACTTTGTTTGTCATCTGCAGTATACCTACCTGCCGTGCGTGTGTACACGATAGCTCTGCGTCTGATGCTACTCTCGAACTATTTTGGTCAAAGACGTGGCTCTTCTTTTTCGTTTAAAGGTTGCCCGGTCCCTGATCCATAGGGTATTAGATCCTTCTACCCTGGCCAGAACGTCTTGGAAGAGTCGCAAGCACCCCCCACACGCTTTAACCCCGCTGCGTGCGATCTGCCAAGCGACGGTGGTGTACGCGTTTAAGTCCTGGGTGGACAGAGACAAAATTCAATAAACTTGCCTGGGCCAATTCACAATGGTTGACAGCCTCTGGCCAAATCAGCTGGAATGTGTCCAAGTTCGGCAGCTCGCCAAATATTTGACCCTGGATATTGCTTGAATGGGCGACAACCGTGTATTGTTGTAAACTAGGTGATGTCGGCTGATGACGGGTCTTGTTGTTGGGCAGCAGAGCGGAGAACAGCTAAGTGTGTTGTACTGTACTAAGCTCCCACGTCTATGATCCACCGCCTTCACCAACCCCGCACCAAGCTGTAGGGTAGGGGAGGAGGGGGGGGGGTCCTCATCCAGCAGTGGATTTATTAAAAAGGCCGTACATATGCGGTTAGTGGAGACAACCACAGTCACAGTAAACCAAGCTAAAAAAAACATAACACGCGGATAATCACAGAAATGCGGCAATTACCTGGTGACACAAGATCGTCTGCTGCACAAGACGCGCATATCCATCCAGACGGACCCCCGAGTTGCTCCGGCTCCTCATGATCAAGCCAGGCACCTCCTCGTCTGCCGAGCCACGGTGAAGAGGGGGGGGGGGGGTAAGAGGCGGCGGCGATGGGGGAAAGGGCGCGCTGGAGGCCGGCTGGGCAGCTAGGCAAGCCCGGGGATGCGAGTGGGGCCTACGATATTTTTTTGTGTTTTTCTCCCGTCGGCTTTAATATATCCGCGAAGCAGCAGCAGCAGCATACAGTAGCGGAGTAATGAGGTTCTAAAAGGGAAGAAGCGGATGACGCGCGTGATGTGGACGTGCGTGGAGACGGGTCTAAGAATAACAAGGACATGAGGGGAGAGGCAGAGAAATCCGACTCCGCCGGTAACGAGAACCTCTCGGGCCTGTGGGGGGGGGGGCGTGGCGGCGAGCGCACGTGACCCCAGCCTCGACCCAACCGTGGGCCGTGATATATCGCGATATCGCGATATATCGTGATATCGCGATATATCGTGATATCGCGATCTATCGTGATATCGAGATATACCGCGAGGTCGCGATATATCGTGATATCGCGATATACCGTGATATCGCGATATACCGTGAGGTCGCGATATATCGTGAGGTCTGAGAGCCTCGCGATAATCGTGTCGTCCGATCGGCGAATTCATCAAATCGGTAGCTTAAGAAACACCGCCCACATCACAGAATAATAGTCCATAATAGAGGTGTTTGGGTTAGATCGCGTAAAATGTTATTGTGTCGTTAAACCCCCCACCAGGCGACAAAGACAATTAGTAAAGTTGTGTGACGTCAGCAAAACGTGGCAATTCCTTACTCAATCTTGATTTGAAGCTTTCGTCACTGCAGGAATTCATGAAATAAATCGGGCGCAACACAAGCCCGAAACGTCGTGATTTATTTTATACCTACGTGACTTTACCGAAAGAACCAGAGAGTATTAATTCCTTGCCCATACAATACATCCCGGTGTGTTGAAGAGTAAACCCACAACATTTACAATTCGAGTATGACGTTTCGCCAGTAATTACAACCAGCATCATCAGGCAACAGCCAGATTTGTGTCAAAATAATCGTGCAGGCCAGTGCTTGGCATTGATGTACATTGATTAACTGCACCAACGTTCGACCGAAAACGGTTACCGGTTCACGAATGACTTTCGGAACGAGTAACCATTATAATTTAGAGTTTTTCAACAACCAGATTATTTGTCATTGTTGTTATGGTCATTTATTACAGATAACATCGATTTGGAAATCTGCAATTGAGTGGGGGAAAAAACACTTGTGTACAGAACGCTGCAACTACTGCAGCAGAGTTTTTCCACATTAATAGGGACATATTAACGTGTCGAATGTTATTTCACAAGTGCAAACAAACACATCTCTCTCTTTGTTTGCCATATTAAATATATTACATAACAGTGTGCTTTCCAAATCAAGCAAATATATTCTAAATATATTATTTAACATCTATTTCGACTACGTAGTTCGTGAAGCCTTCAATAGCTGTACCGGAGGAATTTCCATCTGGTAGGGAGGCTGATCGATGCCTGGGTGCGGTGAAGGGATGGCGCCCTATTGCTCAACCATGTTATGTATGCCGATAATCTGGTAATTGCTGCTCACTCAGAGGAGGAGTTGGAGGCGCTGCTGCTGAACCTGGCCGCTGCCACTAAGAGGTGGGAACTTACCATCAGCCCCACCAAAACCAAGCACCTGCCTGGGTATTTTGTACCATCGGACACTCCACCCCAAAAACTCACAATTGGTGATAGGGCCGTTGTGGAGAGAGTGGAGAGTTTCCCATACCTGGGCAGTGTGCTCATGACCGCCTGCGGTTTAACAGCAGAGGTCTCACTCCGAATCAGTCGAGCGGCATTATCTTTTAATCGGTTGCGTAACGCTGTGTGGAAGCTACCTGGTCTGTCGCTACGCACGAAGTTTCAGGTCTTCTCGGCCACAGTCATTCCCTCTCTTCTCTACACATTGTATCTGTACCAGATGGAAATTCCATCTGTGCAGGACCGCCTTGTCCTGAAACCGCATTGGGGCTCCGCAAGCCTCTCCTCAGCGTGCCTAGCAAGGCGATGTTGAATAATCCTTGCCAGGACTTTTCCCGGCACACTGAGGAGTGAGATGCCCCTGTAGTTGTTACAGTCTGTGCGGTCCCTCTTCTTAAAGAGACGGACCACCAGGGCATCATTCCAATCCTGCAGAACCCGTCCAGTGGTCCAGACTGTTGTTATGATGTCATGTAGGGCAGTCTATGCACAAACGCCACCCTCCCTCAGCATTTCGCTTTGGAGATCATCTCTGCCCGGTGCCTTTCCTGGTCTCAGACTCTGGATTGTCTTTAGTACTTCCTCAACAGATGGCACCTCAGTCAGCCACTTACAGGGGGTGACTTCCTCTTTCAATATTTGAGACACCGCAGCCTCAGCAGGGTCATCCCTACTTTTTCCCACGTTGTTATCCAGGCTGAGGGAAGTCCCCTCCCCCAGGACCTCACAGAAATGATCAGCAAATCTGCAGACCTGTTCCTGGGGGTCGGAGATTGGATCACCTTCTTTCCCCTAATGATGGTAATAGGTGTGGCGCTGCAGGTGACTTATTTGATGGAATTAAAGAGCGATTTGTGATCACGAGCCATTGATGCAGACTCCATCTCCTCAGCAACCCGCGACCACCACCCATACTTGCAGTGGCTCACGGCTCTCCGAACCTCAGAGCGAAGGCTGCGGTAAGCCTCCTCATTCTCCAACGTGGGATGTTGTAGCCGATGAGAGTGGGCCTGTCGCTTTTTCTCAGCCAGCTTGAACACCTCCTCTGTCAACCAGGGTCTCTGGGGAGGTCTTGACCATGTACCCAAAGCAGCCATTGCAGCTGCATGAGCCACAGTCCTAAACCTCGCCCATTTCCCCTCGACATCAGGAGTGGGGGACAATGCCAACCCCAGCCGCAAGCGATTATTAAATTCTCGCTTGCAACTTTCATCAGCTAGCTGAGACCATGCCACTAAGAGTTTGAATGGGGTCCTGGGTGTACACCCACCACTGGAGTGGAAGAATGGCAGGCGCATTTTACAGATGACAAGTCGATGGCCAGTGGGCAGATCAGCTCCACGGTAGGTCCTGGTATCAAGGACATGGGCCAGCATCCGCTGTTCTGTCACTATGTAGTCCAGCAGATGTTCTTGCTTAGACCCGGCATGCATCCATGATGTTGTGTGGATGCGCCGATGCCGGAACAGCTTGTTGGTAATTACAAGCCCATGGGCTGCACAAAAATCTAGCAACCTCCTGCCTTTGTTATTGAGCTGATCTGGCCCATGCCTTCCAATCACTCCAGACCAGGTGCCAGCATCATGACCAACTCGGGTATTGAAGTCACCCAACAAGGTGATTCTATCCCGAGGGGCCACTTTAGTTAGCACCTGTGACAGGAGGTCATAGAAGGCATCTGACTCATCGGCCTTACCTGCATCCCTCCACAGATGTTCGTCTTCAGTGGGGACATAAGTAACCACGACCACCACTCCTCGCCTCTGGCTGATGGGAAGGCGAGCCCAAAGTAGTCTGGGGATTACAGCTTCCCACATCTCACCGCCACGCTCCCACGCCCCCTTCATTCCTTTGTTCAGAAGAAGAGCCACTCCCTGTTAAATTTCGATTTAAAGCTTTCGTGACTGCAGGGATTCATCTTCTTGGTTCTTTCGGTAAGGTCACGTAGAAGGGAAGTAATAAAATAATAAAAATAAAACATAATAAAACAATTCTCACGACGTTTCGGCCACAACGCAAGCAGCCGTCCTCAGGTGAAAACCAGGTCTGTCGAGGCGACAGCGTCATTCAAACCAGGTCTGTCGAGGCGACAGCGTCGCCTCGACAGACCTGGTTTTCACCTGAGGACGGCTGCTTGCGTTGTGGCCGAAACGTCATGAGAATTGTTTTATGTTTATTATTTTATTACTTCCCTTCTACGTGACTTTATCGAAAGAACCAAGAAGACCACTCCCTGTTGTTTGACAGTCTCCTGCCCCGAGAAGAGGACTGTCCACCCCTCATGGTGGCAGGAGCCAGAGCCGGTCTACCGGACCTCCTGTATACCAGAGATCCAGGTGGTACCGGTCCAGCTCCCGACAGAGGAGTGGCAGCCTCTCCTCTGCAGTGAGCGTTCGAACATTTCACGTGGCCACACGTAGTGATTTTTTGTTGTTTCTGGAGGAGCCCCGAGGGTAAGGATTCAGTCTCCTGGCTCCACCAAATGGGGTTTGGCCAGGAGACGTTATAGACGCATTTCCCCCGGGGCCTCCGGCACAAGCTTATTTATTAAATTTTGTCGTCGTGGTTTAGTGGTAATTAATTGAAGGTGGAGGGGTTACCAGCCCCTCGCACCCGTCCAGAGACCCCATTTAGGCCACTGTAGTGGTTACAAACGCCATGAGGGGAAAGGGGCCAATTGGAATTGGCCCCTTCCCCCACAGCACTGCCCACGACAGCATTGCCCGTCCGGCACCACGAGGAGGTAGGGGGTTGTTTTGCCGGGCAAGGTAAACGAATCACCCAAACACATACAAATAAAACACCTGTGACGTCGACCCCCAAAGCGTGGGGACCCTGAGGCGGTCGCCCCAATTCGCCGTACCCGACGTAAATCCTCTTCGCTCCCTGTGGAGCATAAGGCCGCAACAAGCCCACGCCATGCCGAACGGTCTTTAGCAGCTTTCTCTCCGATACCGGGACAATCTTTCTGAAGCAGGGACTGTCCTGGCCAGGAAAATTATAATTAATAGCTTTAAACATAACACTGACAAATATACACAAATAATGGCACATAAAGGAACCCCGTTTCCAACTTATAACGTTAATAAAGTGCACCCATTTTCTCGACTTCACAGATTGCATTTCATGGTTGCGTAAATGCTTTAGGGCCCAAAGCTGAAGTTCAAGTTAATTACGAAGCAACCTGCAGCTGTGAATTACAACGCTGTCCCCTCACCGCAAAAAAACGCATGCAAACATTTGTAACATGTATTTTTCAGGCCCTGTTTTGAAGGTATCACTGATATAATGAGCCAAAAATGTCTGTGTGAACGCGCGCTGACGTCACTTCTCGTCGACCAGCGCCCCGCATTACTAATCATGAATAGGTGGGTCTTCCACATGAACCCCCCCCCCCCCCCCCGGGTATTAATAATCATGAACGGGTGACGTCACTCCGTATGAAGAAGGTGGAGCGGAAATGCAAATTTGTTTACGCAAATTAGCTTTCATTTTGACCTTTCTTTATGTAAAGCTAATAAAGAAATCAACGCAGCAACTAATATAACGAGCCAAAAAAGGCTGTGTGTGTGTCTCGCACGTGACGTCCCTTCACATGCGCCCCCCTCCCTCATTATTATTCATGTGTCCCTGCATTTTTTGACAAACGCAGAAGGTCGAGCGGCTATGATAATTTTTGTATCCAAATTCGCTTTCGATTTTACGTATCTTTATAGTAAGTGAAGGCAATAAATATTTCTACGTTGCATCACAGTGCATTTGGTGCCTTTATTTATTTCTTCGGCACGTCCAACAAAAGGTAAGTCTACTTTATGCTTCCAAATTATGCTACAATAAACATTTCTCTGCTACTTTGCAGACATTGTATCGAATTCCAATTGTTTTCAACCCCAGCGAGCGAAAGCGGAAGATACGTTAGTATCAGGGCAGTGAATTGCAAGTAATTGAACGTCCGATAAATACAGTGCTACTGTGACATTACGTCAGGTGTTTTATGACTTCCTTTGGTGCAACATTCACTGCCATTAATATAGTGCTACAGTGAAATGCAGTGAAGTGTTTGATGGCATTCTTTTTTTCAATATTCTCTGACATTACACTTAGACAAGATAAAAGTATACTCTGATCAATGTATTCGTAACTCTAATGCTTCTATCTAGTTTTCGTGACTGCAATGCTCCGTACTCTTTAGTTCTTTCGGTAAAGTCACGTAGGTATAAAATAAAATAAATAATAAATAAATCTAATCACGACGTTTCGGAAGCAACACAAGCTTCCGTCATCAGGTGGGACAGCCACAGCAAGAAACAAATTGCTGTAGTGGGCAGAAGAGCTTCTTGTGACAAGAGATTATATAAGGTAAGGGGGGGAGGAGCCGGGGGGGGTGGAGTAGGGGGGGGGGCTCTGCCAACTGTGGAGCTCTGCCAACTGTGCAGTTAACACTGCTGGTGCGACACAATGCAGGAGCTGGGCAATGAACGGGCCTGAGGGTGGGGGGGTAGAATGCTTTTCTTTGGTCTTCGTTATTTGCTAAGTTACTTCAGACAGTATCAGCACTATACTTTATTCACTCTTCGCTATCCAGCGTCCATCGGTGAAGATACATTTGTCAGTTAACAGCTTCAGGTGATTTGAAAACAGTGCTAAATTGAAGTTACGGGTTTTTTCTAATTATACAGCCACAGAGATTGTTCGCCTTTGCCTAATGTGTAAGATACCGAAGAGTCCCTGGTCCGTTGACCTGCCCCTCCACCAGCGACGTAGCCCCCGTGATTCCCGCCACCAGCTCACGCAGCCAGTCACCAGGAGTCACCGCGCTCTGGGGTGTTGTTGCTGGAACCTGTGTGGAGATCACTCTCTCGCCATTATTCCCATTATCGTCTATTTGTATCGGGACCGCGTCGATTGCACCCCTAGGTGGTCTCCTCTCTAGGGGGGCCTTAGTGTTTTACCTTAGCTCTTGTCTAGCTCGAGCGACCTGAGGACAGTCCCTCATTCGGTGTCCCCGTTGGTCGCATATATGGCATGTAGGGGGAAGGGTGGCGGCTCTGTAGCGGGCTCTCTGCCCACTCCCTCCTCCCCCATTGCGCTGCTGCTCATACTCTGCTTCTAGTCGGGCTATCCTTCCAGTTAGCCCTCCTACCGTGGAGTCTAGTTTCCCCATCTCGGACCGGATGGTCTCAACGGAGGATTGCAGTTTGGTCATATTTCTATTCGCTTCCTCACGTATATCTCCTATGCCGGTTTGTAGCCGGGCTACCCACCCCGGGGTTGTCTCGTTGGGTCTCTGGGGCTCCCTTGCCCATCCCCTTACTGCGATGGCGAGCTCCTCCTCCTCGTCCGAGAGTAGGCTCGCTACGGCGCACTCTCGTCCCCTCCCTCGAGGCTGCGCGCGCTCACCAGAGAGCTTCTCGCATTTACGCGCGCGCTCAACAAAAGTGTTAAAGGAGAGGTGTGCACCGTCTAAATTTGGCTGCCACCACGAGGTGCGTGCCAAATATCGCTGGACCTTCCCGGCGGCGAGGCTCTCAATTACTTTTGCCTCGTGCTCCGGGTACGCGAGCTGGGTCAGCGTGCGTACGTCCTCGGCGTAATCTCGCAAATCCTCGCCGGGTTGGCGGCGGCGTGCCTCTAAGGCCGCCTGCGCCTCCTCCTCATCATACGTGCCGAAGCGCCGTTCGAGTTGGCACATTAATTCCTCCCACTGAGTTTGTGCGCTTGTGTATGCTAATAAGATGCGCTGCGTGTTGCGGCGCTTATTCTAATTATGCTCCTCCATAACAATGCTTATGCGCGGCGTTTATTCTAATTATGCTCTTCCATCACAATGCTTATGCGCGGCGTGTATTCAAATTAGTCCTATACTTATGCCCCTCTGCCTGCCCCGTCGATACATGCGTGCGTGGGGTGCGTTTCAACCGCGGTGGCCGAGTGGCCCCTCGCCGCGACCTTGCAATCTTAATGCCGGTCGCAGTGCCGCGAAGTAGCATCGGGGGAGGTCGTCCAATTCCCTGGTCACCGGAAACCGTGAAAGTTATCCCGATAAGGGCTTCTCGGATTAAAACCGGTCGGCCAGGTGACTTCCCCTCGGAGCTCTATGGGGGGGGGGGAAATGCGTGCGGGTGTGTTCATGTGAGGTGAGGTGGGGGGACGCGGGGGTCGGGTCTGTCACTTGGTGGTGGCGAGGTCGGTGATGGGGTGCCCGCCGAGCGGCTTCGTGGCGGCGGCATCACACTACCTGGGTGTGAAGAACCACAAACGAGCAGGGAAGGCAGCCACGCAGTGAGTCGGTGCAAAATCCCCCCCTTCACAAGCTCGACGGTCCTTTATATGTTAAGGTGTGTGTAAGAGCCATAAGACAGAAAGTGAGTGTATTATTCCTGTATATATATTTGATGTACATCCGTCATACATTTGTTGACAGACTAGTTATATTTTATTTGGAATATTCCAACTGTTTACAAACCCCCCTGTGGTTAGACGCTCCGTTGGTTGAACCCATGACGTTACTTCCGGTTTTTACAGTATAAATGGGAGGCTATGAGAAGAGCCGGGTGGGGAGCGAGTGGATATTGGGGTTTTTTTTTTACCGCGCGGCAGGGTGATGCAGTACGTGAACAGGCGAAGATATAACTTTAGAAAACGCTCGTTTTTGTGCAACCAAGAAATAAAGAAACACTTTGAGTGAAGACACCTCAAACACGCGTCAGACGTATTGCTCCCACAAGTTAAGGCGTAGCTTATTTTCTGGTACAAGAAAGTTGCACCTACAGTGTGTATTGGCCAATCAATGTGTGTTGATACGTGGGAGGAATCAAAGCACTCTGAGAAAATCCACGATTGAAATGGGGCAACACCTTATCCCAAACAGATATTAGGAAGCCACTGGAGCTATGCACTTTTAAATCTAGATTTATAACAAAATTATTTAGAACTGCTTTTTGTGCTTAGATTGTTGTCCTGCCTCCGCACCTCCGATTAGCACGGTTGGCCATGTACGGTGCGAAAGAAGTGCAACGTACATCCAACAGAGGTGTCTATATTTGATGTACTGCCATCACCTGGCGAGCCAGGGTATGGCACCACGACACCTACGAGAAGGGAGTTTCACGACATTTGTGTAATCCACCAACCTCGGCTGCATCCACAGCGCTGGATTACTGCCCACGTGCGTAGTAGCTACCTCCACACGGCTAAATGAGACTGAGAAGTTGACATTCGGAAAATTCCATCAAAGAACACCAAACAAACGCAACTGACCAAAATATAATTATGAAATGACCGAAACAAATTTTATGCTGGACATAAAATGTAATAACCATCACCACAAAAAAATATTCATGAAGCTAGCATGTATTACAGGTGGATCAATGTACAATAAAAATACAATAGATGTATGTATATTCTGTATACTCTAATATATGTATATAATACTTACTATATATTACGTACGTAATACATATATCACTGTATACTAAGTTGTTTATAATACATGATTGGAATAACCAAAAATAGTTAAAACTTCGTTAATTCCGCATTGGGTTAAGGGCTACCCTGCCAATACACATCACAATAGCAGAGGGACAAGACAGCTTTATCAAAATAGTAAAAATCTGACGTTACAGAACGGTGATACGTATCGTCCGTCAGATGAGCGTTGCTATTGCTTCGGAAAAATCTGACACTCAATGTGCAATTGACATCGTGGTGCCTTTACAACCGAGGGGTGTCCTGGAAACAAAGTTGATGACCCACGTATATAAGCAGTGACAACCAATTCTAGCGTCAATGGAACACTTTAAAAATCACGTTGCATCAACTCTCCATGGATGGGCGCGCTGTTAGCGTCACCATTCAGCTTGTTAATCCATTTAATGAACAATATTATCGCAATCAGTAATCGTCGTTTGGTAAATCTGGTATCCGCGCCAATCTTACAGCGCAGAAGCCAACACAAAGGCCCCGAGATTAACAGACACCGTGTGTGGTGCAATGTTGCTGTGCTCTTTTTTATATTCCAATCGAGTACTTTCGCGTGCAATTCTTCTGCTCAGCCAAATCCGAATTGCAACATGGGACATTTAACGTCCACTGCGAAGCAGACAAGTAGCCACGTGGTTAACACGCGCGGTACGCAGTAATAACCAGGACGGCCTGCCGGATTCGAAACCACGAAGCTCTGCGACAAGCTAGCAAACGCGTTGCCAGCGGCCCACGCCACTTCATCTGCCAGCTCAGAACAAAAAATTAACCCGTAAAAACTAAGTTTTTCACTATAAATCCTTTATATGCGTGGCGGCTAGAGTCCTCTCGTCCTCTGGCTTGAGATGGCTGCCACCTATGGGTCAGATGATTGCCTGCCACTATTAAGCAATTGGTAATTAAATATTTTTTTTAAAAAATCCTAAAAAGTGTAACATTTTGGAAAAAAAATTCACGAAAATAAATTGTCACGCACAACGAGTCTGTGTGCAAAATGTCAGCTCGATTGGATCATGGGAAGTGGGTTAAAAAACGACCGAAAGATTTGCATGGTCGTAAGGACGCAAGCAAGCAAGCAAGTGAACTTAATATAAAGGATTTAAAAACGAATTACTTTGTGGACAATGGACATTTTGTGAGGGTTTCCCACCGCCCCCCCCCCCCCCACAGGACACCCCTAAAATTCAAAGACCACACGTGCCTAATCTTGGTGCTGGTGTCGCGACAGTAATGTGCTGGACATTCAGTGGGTGAAAAAAGGGGTCAACGTCGCAATTTAAAATTTTGCCCATTTTCACGGGGTGGGGGGGAGGTAGTTAAATCGGTATTTTGTAAAAGAGTTTATAATTCAGAAGCAGTCCAATGAGGTTAGGGTTGTTAAGCATCTAATTGTGTACACACAGTGCATAGAGTAATACTTTGATTTGCGTCTTCCCCCCCTTTTCGTCGTTTCGCAAACACGTCATCGCCTTATTATTATTAATACCACGACTTCATTTGCGTCGCCCTCGACCCACACACACTTGCGCGGCAGACAACATCGTCCGTCCTTTCTGGTTATCCCATCACCTCAGCCTTCGCCTCCCCCCGCCCGCATGCTCCTGCGCACAAAACGGCTTTGTATCGTGCATAAATAAATGCGCACGGCGCTGCGGAGGACGATACAGTATTTACGTAGAGTATTTTGGCGATTGGGAAACAACATTAGCTTACGATTTACATCGTTTTCGATATTCTTCTCACATTTAAGGACCGGGGGCATTACCGCATTAAACAGAAGTACAGGCTGAGGCTAGGTTCAGGCACCAGCTGTAAATGGCGGTTGGGAATATTCACGTGGTCATTAAAGGATTGAGGGTTAATGAAATGCAAACTTAACTCACTACTTCACACTTGCACACATATATTACATACAGACACACAATTATCGGACGTACTGGACATTGAAATAAGAACAGGACACTAACTGTACTTAAAAAGGCGAATACAAAGTGCATAAACAAAATCATTTGTGCATCATTTTGCCTGTGTATCTAAACATATGTAAAAACAAAGCACTTTGGCGATTAATACTTTGCAATATCGTGACAGTGGAGACGTAACAATGCGTAAAGTGCTGGCAGCATTCCAATGGCTTAAAATGCAGGCAACAAAAGATTATAATTACAGAGGCCTTTTGCTTAATGCCCATTTTCTTTGCATACTGTGTTGTTTTATAACCCCCTACACCTGGTGAGTGAACCCTGTTGGGTTTTTTTTGTACACTTTTGAAATTCAATATTTAAAAGTGTCAATTTCTAGACAATTCTCCACACGCTAATGCCCTCCAAACATACAAATGCGACGTCTGTGCAGTCACTGATAAACTGCCGAGACCATCAAACTCACTGCCTCCTTCACCGACTGACAATTCACAATAGCGCGGACTGTGACTGTGATCACCAAACTAAAACCACGGGGCGCGTCGTAACGCCACTGCCCGCTTTGATCATTTGCCAGCAGCGTTTCAGATATTTGTTAGGCAGCTCGCTCATCCACTAACGTCGACATGAACATAGTAGATGATCGACGTTCAATCGATGATATGTAAGAGAAAAAAAGGCCAAAACTTATACATCTGGTTTAATTTGAGATGAGAGCCTGGGATTTTATATTTTGGCCCCATTTAAAACACTCTAGGTTAAGTAAAGGAGTACTACTGCGATATTATTGTTGCTGTGCATCCAGTAAAGCCATAACCAGACAATGAAGGATTACATTTGATCTGCATACAGGGACTTCTCTACTTACGAACTAGTTAGGTTCCAGAGCTCTGTTCGTAAGTCGATTTGTTCGTAAGTTCAACTTTACTCCTGTCTATTCCAAACGTGTTGTACTGCATGTACACTAAACACGCGGAATAACTTTAAAAGTTGTATAATCTCATATAGATATAGATGCCACTGGTTCTTCACGTTTTACAGATGTAGATGCCACCACCACCATCTATTGCGCGGCGGTTGAACTTACGACTCTCAGTCCGAACAGGCAACTGGACATACGGACAGATTTGTTCGTATCTCTGAAAGTTCGTAAGTCGAATTTTCGTAAGTAGAGAAGTCCCTGTATACTACTTAATAGGTACATTCACGGTATTCCTTTTGTCAATCTACTGCTGGATTCCACACATTCCGGGTGGTTTGGTCGCAGGAATAAACGAATATTTCTATGAAAAACATTTTTAAGCATATTGTGCGACCTTTGCAAGGTATGCTATATATTCATATCATAGACTGCCTTGGCATAGTATCATACAACAAAATGTATGACTTGAATACCACACGTATTTTGAACATTTAACTTATGCCTTAATACTTGTTCGTCCAGCGTTGATGATAGGTCCCTTATGGCAGCAACAGAGCTCATAGACGATCCATCCTTGTTTACAAACTTCCCTCAGTTTGACAGTCAATGCAGTGATTTGAAGCCACATACAGTGTATCATAAAATCTCTCAGCAACTGGACATGAAGATAAATAGACCCAAATGATATTAAATCTTGACTTAAAGGACGTTATTAACCAGTTTAAGTCATAACTGGCTGTGATGTTTCCATCCTACCTTCCGATGTTAGTTATTTTCGACTCTCTGGTTTTACATTTACAGGTTAAATGTCTTTACATTAACAGGTTAAATGTCTCACACTAACACAGCCACCGTTGCTCGTTTTCCTCGATGTGGTGGTGGCTCTGCGATCTTACATTGACATTCTATTCTCTCACAATACAATGGCCACCTCCGCAGCTTCGTCATCGTGGGGGTAGTTCTCCGATCTTATATTTACATGCTAATTTCTCACTTTAACATCACTATCCCCGCCCACTTCGCTTATGACCTTTGGGCTACACCCATTTCAAACCTTTAAAACAGCCTGCCTCAGTAGCTTTCCCGTTATTTTTTATCCTAATGACGATTGCTTGTGTTGCGATCGAAACGTCATAGTTTTTTGCTATTTTTAGTTTTTATTTAACCTATCTACGTGACTTTACCGAAAGCCCCAATAATACCAAATGATATCAATATAACTATTTTATATGAATTGATTGATAGTATCATTATTATACTTGCTTACCCAGGAAGGCCTCTTTATCAGGAGGCTCCTGCAATGTTTTTTGTTTTTCGCAGAAGAGGGCAATGACTGCCATGGAAATTCCCATTGAGTAATTTGCAAGTAATTCTTCAAATTTGGCAAGTTTGGTAACACTCTTAAGCACGCACCTCCGATTAGCACGGTTGGCTACGTACAATGTGAAAGAGGTTCAACGTCAGAATCAGAATATTTATTTATACTGGAGGAATCCGATGAGCTATAAAGCTCTTTTTCACAGATTCCAGCATCCATTGCTGTACTGCCATCTCCTGGCCACCTGGGGCAACAGCGGCACGGATTGGAATTGCCCTGCATGACACGTGGTGATACGTGTCATAATGGAAAATTGAATGCCGGGTGGGGGGGATTGAAAGCAGGGATTGAAAGCAGGGAATGACGATGACACCGGCACACAATGGCCTACTCTTGCAAATTATGTCCGGTGATTGCTGACGCCCAATGTGATACAGACAGCAGCGTAGTATCCATAATAGAGTGTAGTATGTTGTGGTTTAAAATGACCGTTGTATTTTCTGGTTAGTACACACCACAGTGCTAACATTAAACTATGTTGTATTTCACCAGGCAAGGCTCACTGAGCTATGCAGCTATTTTTCAGAAGTAACCTGGCCACAAATGATAGCTTAACAAAGTGGCTTATTACGTGGAAATGTATAGCAACCAGATACTCTAAACGCATGTTTCTAAATGTGGTGGGAAGAACCGATGGACCCAGACAAAAATCCACGCGAAAACGGGGAGAACATGCAAACTCCAAATATACATGTGTCAGTCAGGAACGAAACCAACGACCTCCTGCATACCAGGTGAGGTAGTCAACATCTCGCCACCGTGGCGCCCCTATGGTGGCCTGCTGGAATCTAACTGCGAAAACCTCTGCAACAAGCATGCTATCGCAAAGCCATGTCATCACCCCTTCTAGGTCAATGAGTTGGAACAATCATTTCTGATGCTTGGCATCAAAACTCCTTGTATCCTTCCTCCATAATTTCTCAACCAGCTCATGGCCGCGCTGTCCCCTGAAGCTTTCTTTCCACAGCACTTTGCGCGCACACCAAGGAAGTGGGGGGGGGTGGGTCGCTCGAGAAAGTGGAGGTGTGCCAATCTAAATGATGAAGGATTCCCTCTCAGGCTCGCGCTTGCCGTCCTCAGCGCCGAGGCATATCTGCGACTCGTTGTGGGGCTGAATCTTGACCGTGACCCTCTTCTGGCCCTCGGAGCTGTTCCGCACGCCGTAGGAGAAGTAGATGATGAAGCCTGCGAGGGACAACGGTGCGGCAAAGTCAAACCCCGCGGATGGGGAACTCACCACGTGTTACAGTCACAAGAGGTGGTACTCGCATTGCCACGATTTACAGGCATTCCCTCGATTTTTACGAAGGGGTGTGCGCATTCTATAAAACAATAAAAAAACGCGCCTAAAACGAAATTTCGTAAATCAGTGACTTTTGACCATTAATATAATACTAAAAATTCGGGATGTGTTTCGGACAGTCATTCCAACTCTACTCCTAACCTAACAATACACACCTATATCGTTATTCACAATACAAAATAAATAACACAAATATGAAAATTATTGAACAATAATTAATTAACCTTTTCAGGGAAGTCACCAAAAGATCTGCATGTCGGAATGACTGGAAAAGTGATGTGGAGGAGTTACTGTTGCACTGTAGGGATGCCGTGACACTGTCGCGGATCAGAAACCTTGATTTGGACTCGATAAATGTGATGAGCTATGAAGCTCTTTTTCACAGACGTCCAGTCATGGACGGATGACGCAGCCTCCGGGGTGCTCAGTATTTAATCCCGTGGTGCGTGCGATGTGAAATTGTGTTAACACGGAAATTCGATGTTGTGAATTGAAATGTGTCCATAATTTATCAATTGCATTGACGCGAAATCTCGTAAATGTGAAATCTTCGTAAATCGACAGATACCTGTAAAACGACATGAAGTCTTTTCTGCTATTCCACATGTGTCTTTGCGATCATTGTCATCATCATAAATCAGCTATTGATGATGATGATGAAAGTGGGAGACAACAGTCTTCTCACAGTGGCTGCACCCATCACTTGTTTTCATGTCATGTTAAACACAAGACTGCAATATTGGCAAAATTAATGTAATTGCCTCGGATCCAGATATCAGTAGAGCCATACGGACCATACAGTAAACCACTCTAGTCTGTGCTCCTCCGACGGAGGAGGAACAGCAAAACTACACAAAACTCTCTCCTGAAGCCATCTCATCGTCACGGCTAGCAGACCTCAACATTGGCATTTAGCTCCTGAACATTTTTCTGCCATCGTACGCAAAAACATCATTGTCCCATTGGGATAAATTTGGAGCTCCAAATTAATGCTCGGGCTCTCAATCCTTCCCCATGTAGATTGAAACTAAAATATTGTAACATTTGGGGAGCGAATTGGTGAGTTTGGCACGTCGGTACAGTTGCAAATCTTTCCCAACCTTCTTCTTGGTTCTTTCGGTAAAGTCACGTAGAAGGAAAGTAATAAAATAATAAAAATAAAACATAATAAAATAAAATAATTCTCACGACGTTTCGGCTACAACGCAACGTCGTGAGAATTATTTTATTTTATTATGTTTTATTTTTATTATTTTATTACTTTCCTTCTACGTGACTTTACCGAAAGAACCAAGAAGATGAATCCCTGCAGTCACGAAAGCTTTAAATCGAAACTTTCTCAACCTCTTGTCAAGTCTGGCCATGATCAATCCACGCCTGGATGAATGTCTCCCTAAGGCAACACTCTAAAAGCTCTATTCAGATAGATTCCAAAATCAATCTCTGCATTACCATCTCCTGGCCACCGTGGGCAACATTGGCACGGATTGCAATTGCAATAATTTAGAGTATTTACATTTTTTGGCTTCTATAAATTTCCATATAAGTCACTTCGTTGAGCTATCATTGGTGGCCAGGTCGATTCTGAAAAATAATCGAATCGCTCAGTGGACTTTACCTGGAAAATAAAGGTTTAGTTTTAGTTTTATCATGATTTGCTTACCTTTCCTATACTTTAAACTTCTATCGTGTTTTTGTATTGTGTTGTTGTAACTTTTTGACCTGCCCCTACTGGACATCTGTGAAAAATAGCTTTATAGTTAATCGGATTCCTCCAGTATATATACAGATTTCTGATTCTGAAATGTCCTGCACTAACACGTGGTGACGGTGTGACAATGGGAAACCTAATGCTAGGTGGGGGATTGAAAGCAGGGCATGACTATGACGAGGGTGACGTTTAGTTCTGCACCATAGTGGCCACCTCTGTGTCCTCGATCACAATTCGTGATGTGTGCACGTGCTATAAATGGCATTTATTATTACATGAAGCAGTCCCCTTCCTTAACCTCCTTCCGTTCCTCTCTCAAAGCCTCACCTATTCTCCATTGTCCAGTCTCTTCCTTTTCACTTCCCCCACCCCTCCATTGCTTCTCTCCCCCTTCCCTATCCCCTTCTCACCCCTCTATTGTGACCACCTCCCATACCCTTTCCTATCCCTATGCACCCCTCTATCATGACCACCTCCCCTCCCCTATCACCTTCTCACCCCTCTATCGTGACCACCTCACCTACCCTCCTCTATCCCCTACTAACACCTCTATCGTGGTCACCAATTCCTCATCTCTTTGCATGCCCCCTGCCATCAAAATCATTTATTTGTATAAACCGTTTTTTTTACTATGTTAACCGCATTGATCAAAGGGCACTCTATATATAAAACAAGGTTATTATTCCTACTACTGTGAACACTTGTGACTTGGTACCTACCAATGAGCATCCATACAGAGAAACGAGCCCACGTGCCGGCGTCGAGTTGCATCATGAGGTAGATGTTGACGAAGACGCTGAGCACTGGCAGCACCGGAAGCAGCGGCACCTGCAAGGGTTATTGCAGATGATGGTTTTCACGCCCCTTCACCTCCTCTGCTGTCAATTTTTATCCCGACTGTGTGTGAGATTCCGCGAGATAAAAGTCACCAGTACAATTACTCGCAGAGCGGCGGAACAATTCGTGCTGGCGAACGGATGGCAGAAGCGAATATCGCAAAAAGGCAGCCAATTGCCACCCGCGTATCAGAGTAAATGTTTGTTGCGTGAGAGTTAAACCAATATTTTAAGTCTCAGAGACGGAATTTTGCCAATTTAAGTGCAGAACTAAATTTAATGTGCTTTTATTTTGACCAGGCTGAGATCATGAACTGCATTCGGGATCCCGGTTTAATCAAAACTCAGCCTATGCGAACCTACAGGTCTCTACAGTTGTCTACGTACGTATGCATGTTGAACTTTTTTCGCACCATACGTAGCCAACCGTGATAATCGGACATATATGGGTCTTTATCCAAGAAAACTGTACACTTGAGCACATGGTTTAATCAGAGGCAGCTGCCTGGATTGGAGCCCAGAATCTCAGCAGTGTTGGCTCACTGCTCTGACCTCCACCTTCTTTTGAGCATTTCAAGGCATCAAGTAAATCGACACTGGGTACAGGACGCGCCAGCATGAGGGGGTGACAGCAGGCGGGAGTGTGATGCCCACAGCCTCACTCACCATGAACGATATCTTGGTGTGGCTCTGAGGCTGCCGCCAGATGGTCACCGTGCAGGCAGCAAGGACGGCCATGAGCAGCACCACGGGAGCCACCACCTGCGGCTGTCTGTCCATCAACGATTGCGGCCAATTGGCCAGCACGACGCTGAGCAGGAGTATCGTAAGTCCTGGTGGGGAGTTGTAAAACGAGGAAGAACAATCGTACGTGCGCTTGGGGTTCCCTCAAGCTTTCCAACGCCATCGGTTGGCTGTGGAGGTTTCTCAATATAATTCCAGCTCTACCACGAGGGCGTGAATGAGTGTTTGAGTTCCCCACTTTCTCGTTTGTTTCCCATGTCAAATGAAATTTCCCTGAGGTGAACATTATCTGCACCTCTATCAAGCCGCACTGAAACTGCCCAGGAGCCACAGGTGGCTCAAGAGCCACAGTCAGGCCGCGCGTCTGGTCTATGACACGATGCCAGTAGTGTGCGCCGGGGAATAAAATGGCAAATAATACACAGATGATTATTATTATTTACCTATGTAGATGGTATGCTGTTACATTTACGCTGATCGAGAAAGCCAGACTTTGGGAAACAAATGGTGAAATCAGACAAGTAGGAATCAATGCTTGAATTAATCCATTACCCTGAAGCTAGAGGGTCTGTTGCCTCTCTAACGTATAGTGGTTGAAGCGACACCGCATTGCCTTGGCTCGGCTTGCTTACCAACGATGAAGACGCAGATGTTGACGATGTGCGAGGACGTGGCCGTGGGGATCTGTGACTCCGGAAGGACCAGGGACTTCAACCAGAATGTCGCAGAGCCGGGTCCCTTGCTTGGCACGCATATCCCTCTTCCGTGAGGCTCTTTGGTCTTCTCGCCGTAGACATCCATGTCCGCTGTGGCTGACACCGACTGATAACAATCATCCTCCTTGTACCTAGAGCGCAGAGCAGGCCATATTCTGTTGATTTCTTATATGTATATACATGTGTAGTGCCTGAATAACGCGCCACACGCGGGTGTGGGTGTACGCGCGAGCAGTGGGAGCAAACGAGGTCGAGGTTGTTATTGTTGCTAGGCGTGAGGAGGAGGCCAGAGATGGGTAGGGGGCGATTAAGGACACAGGGCGCTGATTGGCTGGGAGTTGTTGTCTGGATGCGGCGCCACGCTGTCTGAGGACAGTAACAGGCCGGGAAGTTGTTGTTGTCGCTAAGTGGCGCCTCATTGTCTGGGAAAACATGGCAGGTGCCAGGGGGGGCTGGGGGCGACGGGCGTCGCGGGGGATGCCACCGATTAATTGGAGATTAATTGGCTTGGGGATAAAGAGAGGGGGTTTTGAAGCAGACGGGAGTTCGCACCTGGGAGAAGCGAGATGCTGGAGCTGAAGCAGCGGAGCCAGAAGCAGTGGAGAAGTGTAGGGTAGCAGTGGAGAGGTATAGGGTAGCAGTGGGGCGGTATATGGTAGCAATGAAAAAGCCAGCAGAAGCGGCTGGAGTGTGACGGCAAAGCCAGCAGAAAGCGGCTGGAGTGTGGCGGAGAAGCCGATAGTGATACGGCTGTGTGTGACGGGAGAGTCAATAAAGAGCGGCTGAACTGTGACGGAGAGAGTAGAGAAGAGAGTCGACGGAGGAGAGACGCGGAGCGAGCGAGGCCGGCGGAATGCGGCGAGCGAGCAGAGAGCGCGCGGAAGGAATGTTGATTGGTGTTAGCTGGAGAAATGTTGATCGGTATTAGCGAAATAAAGCGAGAGAGAAAAGCAAGAAGCTGTCACGTCAAGTCGAGCACTACACATGCACGAAAAGGATAAAGCTAATGGCATCCTTTCTGGGGCGTTTTACGGGTTATACCATGCATTATTTTTGCATGATGTCCAATGTTTCGCTTCTGCAGGAACTGAATTACATTTCCAGCATGCACAGCGAAAGGTCGGACATTGTAGCAAATGACACACGCAATAGGACCAGATCACACATCAGAGAGCTACACAGCACTACTATTAAATCCTACGCAGGAGTGTAACCCATCTTTCTCTATGGTGGATGTGACGGACACACAGGTGTCGTGACTGTACTTGTCACTGTATGGTGCCGGGACTTGCGAAGTTACGGCCGGTGATGTTGTCATTGCGGGCAGCCCGGGTTGCGGGCTGCAGTACCAACTAGTGGTGGTTGGGTGAGTGCAGGTGAGCACGAAGGCACCACGAGCAGCGTGCGGTGCCGGCTCCCAGTGAGGGAGCGAGAGCGAGCGTCAGCCAGCCAGGGTTACGCTGGAGCATGATACTCTGGCTGACCTGTTGTCACGTGACCGGACGATACTGGAGGGGGGCCACCAGTGGACAGGGGCCGAGGGGCGTTCACGTGGTCCCGGAGAGCTCTCGGGAATGTTCGAGAAAGGGCCCGAAGAGCCTGGAAGGTGGGTGGGGCTAAGGACGGAGCCAGCCCCAGCGTGGGGGCATATAACGAGAGCTCCGTGAGGAGCCCGGGGTTCTTCAAGTGTTGGTGTTCGAAGATCCATGTCGGGGAGAAGCCTCTAGCCATGCGGTCCGGGACCCAGCTTGTGGTCCGGACCGGGATAGCGAACCGAGTCTATTTCTGCCATAGCGTGGCTGGATGGGCATTCAAGACCCAAGCGTAGGTTATTTTATGTTGGTGCTATTGTTTTAATAAATAGTGTTGCTCCCAAGTTAACGTCTGTGACTCCGTTGGACTCACTACACAGGTAATAAAAATATATTTTTTATTGCGCTACCCTCTACTGTTTGGACCATAAGTCACTTGAAGGGAACTCAGAGTTAGCTGTCTGGTATCCACTTCCTTGGACCATTCACTAATAAAAAGGGTCACTCTCCTGTGAGACAGATCTGAATGGCTACTTTGTCTCGTGACATGACACGGATAGCACAATCGCGATACCGCTGTGTCACTCAACAATAAACGATGAAGGTGAAAGCTCTGCCAATGAAAGCAGAAGGGCAGGGGGGGGGGGGGTCACCTAAGTATGAGCACGCAGGCCGCCACCAATGAGTAGGCGAGCAGGGTTCCAATGGACATCATATCCACAAGGTCCTTCAGGTCCAACAGCAGGGCCATCACCGCTGGACACAAGAGAAGGGAGTGAAAAATAAGCTATCATAGCAAGTGCACCAAGACTGAGAATTGCCACTTTCTCAGAAATTGTGGTTTAAATTTTTTGTAAACGTTGCATTGAATCAAGCCCCATTTTTTGCCACCAGCGTGTGAAAGTGGTGGAACGGTGATTGTTGAAGTGCGCTGTAAAATCCTGGTGATATGAATGCCATTCTCAGTGGCGAGTGATATCCGAACCGGAATACGAGTCCTCCCCTTCACCAACCCGTACTGGCCAGCGTGATCTTACAATCGTCATAACCGACATAATATGGGGGAGGAGGGGGGGGCCTTCACCCAACAGTGGATTGCCAAAGGGCAGTACATTTATTTTAAACTGTACGATATATAATAAGCATACACTAACTCTCATCAAGTAACTGACTTTTCGCCGAATGCAGCTTAAAACACTTGAATATGGCTATTGAATGAGCGGTAAAGCCTAAAACAGGCCCAATACATTGGATGCTAAGATGTCTACTGCCCTCAAATTCTGATAAATAAATAAAATACTTGTTTTACAGCCCTATTGCTAATCGACTGCTGGATGAGAGCCTCCGCATGATATGTTTGTTTGTTGTAGTCCAGAGTTAGCCTGATAACTTTAATCTACATTGTCTTATGGTTGTTATTGCTTGACTTGCATCCCACTAGGATTTTTGCACACAGCGTTGAAATACGGTGTTTTTTCTGGAAGACTTTGCTGTTTTTTCCTGGATTTTTCTATTGCGTGTAGTCACTTTAAGATGTTTCTTGTTCATGTTTTGGTTTTGCACCCGAGTCAAGAGCCGCATGGCTCACAGAGTTATACCTAATAAATGAAACTGAAACTGAAGTCACAGTTCATCAAACTGATTAGTGTGGGTTGGTGAAGTTGGTGCCAAGGACCAGTTCAGATATTGCTTACCACTGATGTTAGCTGTGGATGGGAATTGAACTCTGATTACCTGTAAGGCAGCTAGGCAGTCTTCTTTTTTCGTATAGTTGATGTAGATGTAGAGCGACAACTACAATTTTTACATTCAGGTGGTCAAGCCAGATAACCGTGTCAGGAGTAGTGGAGTGTATTGATGTGATGTTGCCTTCGTACTTGAGCTCGGCAATGAGCTACCGCCAATATTTAGCCAAGCTCTGCAATCCTCTATACATTATGATGCTTTCATCCAATTAATGAGTGTTTATTATGAATGTGGGAGGAAACCGGAGTAACCTGAGAAAACCCACTCTGTACCACCTTTTTCTAAAAAGCCAGGGTATGGCACCTCCTCAACGCCCACGGGAAGAGCATTTCACAACGTTTAGGCTCAATCATAACGCGGCATGATAACCACTAAGCCACCGGATCCCTCGATGAAATTGCAATGAAATTACACGCACATTCACTATTTGGACTTGAAATATCGACTACTTTAACTATTTTACTCTTTTGACTTGTGCACAATTTCCTTGGGGCAAGCGGGATTGAGGGGTGAGGATTGAACAACCAGGGACCCATTGTACGTAGAAAAAAAAACTTACCAGCCAGCATGCCAGACGCCATCGTGGCAACGACGGGAGACTTCCGGGAGCTGAGTTTGGCCAGGTGCCGGAAGATGAGGCCGTCTCGAGCCATCGCGTACACAATCCGCGGGAGGGGAAACATGGAGCCCAAGAGGCTGAGAGTGAAATAAGGGAGATAAAATATGTTAATGTCAACAAAACTGCAAATTACTTCCACCAATAAACCATTCTTTTTTTTGTCTACTCCAATCGTGCAACTAGCAGCGGCTCTTCGGATGAAGGATCCATTGAGAAATCTCACACAGTAGAGCAACCCTCCATGTTTAAGAATGGCCCACAGAAGCCGATATCCTTACATAAGTGGCCTTTATTCTAGATTTGAAGCTATCGTGACTGCAAAGATTCATATTCTTAGGTTTTTTCGGTTAAGTCACGTAAGTAAAACATCAAAATAAAAATAAAATAAAAATAAAAATCACGACGTTTCGGAGGCAACACAAGTCTCCGTCATCAGGTGGGACCGTCACAGCCGAATTAGCTGCATCAAGTGAAGCAATGATTCAAGATGTAATCCCTTATAAGCAAGTTGAAGGGAGGTGGAGAGGGGGGGGGGTTGGAGAGCTTATCAGACTGTGGTAGCCAATGAATGGAAACGTATCGGGGGGGAGGAGGAGCGGTGATCAAAGACTGCACACAGTGCTCAACACAATGAATGGAAACGTATCGGGAGGGAGGAGGAGCGGCGATCAAAGACTGCACGCAGTGCTCAACACAATGAGTGGAAACGTGTCGGGACGGAGGGTGAGCGGCGATCAAAGACTGCACGCAGCGCTCAACACAATGAATGGAGACGTGTCGGGACGGAGGGTGAGCGGTGATCAAAGACAACACGCAGTGCAACGCAATGAATGGAAACGTGTCGGGGCGGAGGGTGAGCGGTGATCAAAGACTGCATGTGGGGATGTTAACACTCGGTGAAGTAAATTAATTAAAATAGTGCCTGTCAGATAAGATGGTCCAAAAAAGTGTAATTAAGTCTTTTTTGCGTGGTTAATAACATCTTTCCAATGATTACTGAGTTTGTACCCATCATCACGGTTGAAATTATGTCTGTGTTTGTATATTTGTATGGCTTCGTGTACAAACCTTTGATGGTAGCCAGGAGGTTTGCAGAGAACCTTGGTCTCGGAAAAGACAATTTCATGAGAGCCCGCCGAGTTGTAGCAATGATCGGCAACGGCCAAAGAATCAGTTCTGCCGTGTTTCAGATCTGACTTGTGCTCGCGGACACGATCAGCCACATGACGTTTTGTTTCACCAATGTAGCAATCACCACAAATGCAACTCAATTTGTAGACTCCAGGATACTGTAAGTCAGGAACAACATCCTTCACAGATGGAATCAGATCACGGATTTTATGCACTGTACTGAATCGGACTTGGATCTTATGTTTGTTTAGAATTTTGGAGATCTTTTTGGTCACGCCTGCTATGTATGGTAACGTGATAGTTTTGGTCGGAGTTTCATGTGGCTGTTTCTTCTGTGTGGTGGGAGAAACCGCTTGGCGGATAGTACGGTCAGAGTATCCGTTCATCCTGAGGGCCCGATGTACATGTCTCAATTCACCGGTCAGGTGGTGTTGGTCAGAAATGCCATGGGCTCTGTGGTATAGCGTTTTGATGAGAGAATTCTTTTGAGATGGGTGGTGGTGGGAATCCGGTTTCAAGTAGGAATCTGTGTGGGTGGCTTTCCTGTAGACAGAATGGAAAAGTTTGAATCAGACGCCATCCAGACATCCACCCTGCGTCCTTCCTTTTGGAAGAGGTATGTTGATGACACTTTCGTCATCTGGCCACATGGCCTCCCAGCACTGAACCACTTCTTAGACCACATCAATTCTAGACACCCATCCATCAGATTCACTATGGAAGTAGAGAAAGACGGCAAACTACCATTTTTGGATATTCTGTTTGAGAGGAGACCTGATGGATCCTTGGGACATTCTGTCTACAGGAAAGCCACCCACACAGATTCCTACTTGAAACCGGATTCCCACCACCACCCATCTCAAAAGAATTCTCTCATCAAAACGCTATACCACAGAGCCCATGGCATTTCTGATCAACACCACCTGACCGGTGAATTGAGACATGTACATCGGGCCCTCAGGATGAACGGATACTCTGACCGTACTATCCGCCAAGCGGTTTCTCCCACCACACAGAAGAAACAGCCACATGAAACTCCGACCAAAACTATCACGTTACCATACATAGCAGGCGTGACCAAAAAGATCTCCAAAATTCTAAACAAACATAAGATCCAAGTCCGATTCAGTACAGTGCATAAAATCCGTGATCTGATTCCATCTGTGAAGGATGTCGTTCCTGACTTACAGTATCCTGGAGTCTACAAATTGAGTTGCATTTGTGGTGATTGCTACATTGGTGAAACAAAACGTCATGTGGCTGATCGTGTCCGCGAGCACAAGTCAGATCTGAAACACGGCAGAACTGATTCTTCGGCCATTGCCGATCATTGCTACAACTCGGCGGGCTCTCATGAAATTGTCTTTCTGAGACCAAGGTTCTCTGCAAACCTCCTGGCTACCATCAAAGGTTTGTACACGAAGCCATACAAATATACAAACACAGACATAATTTCAACCGTGATGATGGGTACAAACTCAGTAATCATTGGAAAGATGTTATTAACCACGCAAAAAAGACGTAATTACACTTTTTTGGACCATCTTATCTGACAGGCACTATTTTAATTAATTTACTTCACCGAGTGTTAATATCCCCACGTGCAGTCTTTGATCACCGCTCACCCTCCGCCCCGACACGTTTCCATTCATTGTGTTGAGCACTGCGTGTTGTCTTTGATCACCGCTCACCCTCCGTCCCGACACGTCTCCATTCATTGTGTTGAGCGCTGCGTGCAGTCTTTGATCGCCGCTCACCCTCCGTCCCGACACGTTTCCACTCATTGTGTTGAGCACTGCGTGCAGTCTTTGATCGCCGCTCCTCCTCCCTCCCTATACGTTTCCATTCATTGTGTTGAGCACTGCGTGCAGTCTTTGATCACCGCTCCTCCTCCCCCCCCCCCCCCCGATACGTTTCCATTCATTGGCTACCACAGTCTGATAAGCTCTCCAACCCCCCCCCCTCTCCACCTCCCTTCAACTTGCTTATAAGGGATTACATCTTGAATCATTGCTTCACTTGATGCAGCTAATTCGGCTGTGACGGTCCCACCTGATGACGGAGACTTGTGTTGTCTCCGAAACGTCGTGATTTTTATTTTTATTTTATTTTTATTTTGATGTTTTACTTACGTGACTTAACTGAAAAAACCTAAGAATAAGTGGCCTTTGTTTATCCACAGACCAGACGGGGTGCAAATTTCCCTTGTACTCTGCTGCAAAAACATTGTCACGTGACAATCAAACTAATATTGATTTTTATTCTAAAAACTTGGAAAGGTGGTGAAGAGTAAAAGGCGCAGCCTTGAAATTGCCTCCCTCACCGCTGGCAGAAAGGCGTCCACTATTTATGTATAAGGGGGGTGCCCACTTGAGATCCCGGTGAAGTCCCCACTCAGCTTGGTCCCAGTTAAGGCAGTAGTGCCTTGAATGAGGAAGAAAGAGTAGCGATTGTCATCAGGCCCACAGAAGCCACAGGGAAGTGAGTACCTGTCAGGTGAGCCGGCAGCGATGATCCCCATCATATTTCGGATAGAAGTGGTTCTCAACTTTTTTTGGCTCCTGTGGCCCCTTGTTGAATTTTGTTTAAATGGAGTACCCACTTGCCTGACCCAAAATGGTTCTGAGAAATAAATGTATGAATAATGAACATCATCAATATTATAACCAATTGTCCATTTTGTGAGATACCCTAACTAGAGAGTAACTGCAAGAGAATAAAACAAAATACAATGGATGCTCTGAATTTTATATTGGCAGATTCATACATGACTACTCACCAATTGACTCTCATGCGTGAATATAATTTCACACATTTGTAAATCAACCTCACGCACCCCCTGGGACATTGCACGTAGAGAATGACGGGTTACACTACTGCGTAGGATTTCACAGGAGTGCTGCATATCTCTCCGACGTGTGCTCGGGTCCTACCACGTGATGTTTGGCATGATGGCCGATGCTTCTCTGCAAGTGCTGGAAACTGAGAACCACTGATAATAGAGAACTGCCGAGCTTGGGGGCGGGGAGAATTCAGTGGCGGTTCACCGCGTGGCTCCCTTTTCCGCTCGTCTACGGTTCGATCGTGTCGCTCTCTCTGAGTGAATACTGTGCGGCGACGCGTTGCAAGTTGACATCGTCATTGATTGACCGACTCTTCCACGATGTTCAGTCGTCTTGGCAGAAGTGGGAGTACCCACGCTTTACCCCAGCACACGCGACCTGCCGGTCGACTAACTGTGGTGGGTGGACAGACAGAGACAGTGCAGGGGGATTTAAGAAACGTACAGCCATCGTTTCAGCTGCCACGCCAGGAGATCAAATCAAACCGGTCACCTCTGGATTGCAAGTCCAGTGTGGTGCTGTCCATTAGACAAGGTCAGCATCCCAGATTACTGCCTTATGTATAATATTTGGTTAATTATCTAGGAACATTTTGATAACTTCAGATGGTCTATCTCGCGACATCTTCTGTGATAATTATTACACTCAGTTTAGCCAGGAAAGGACTCACTGAGTCTCAATATCCTCTTTCAAGAGGGTTCCTGCCAAGTTTTCGCAGTAAGGTGCTGCTGTGTGTAATCCAAATTCCGTAATTTACAGGTAATTTTTCATCAGTAGTTTTTGTCAAGGCTAGTTACATTGTATGGCTTTTTTAGCTATGGGAGGACACCGGAGAACCCGAAGCAAACCCATGCATATTCGGGGAAGAACATAAACACTGCACACAGAAAGGTGGCCCGAGTCAGAAATCGAAACCCAGGCCCTTCTTGCTGTGAGGCACAAGCTTTAGTACTACACTGCCACCTTGGCCTGAATGTCCCAGGTCAGAGCGGGTGTTCCTGTAAAGAGGTTTAGCTGTTCTGCATGGATTTCCTCTGGGAACCTTCTGATAACCCGGAGAAAATCCCATACAGAAGAATGGGGAGAGTTCACAAACTAGACACAGAAGTGCGCCCCAGCCGAGTGAACAGATACACGCAACGTGAAGTCCTGCAGACGCAGGAGGAAGAGGGGTGGTGGGAGGAGAAGAGGGGTGGCCAAACCTGTCACCTGTCACCCACCTGGTGGAGAGTGCGCAGAGGGAGCCCACAGCGACGGGGTACTTGGCGGGGTCCCAGCCCACGTACTCAAAGGCCATTGGCAGAGGGCTCTCCTTGTCCAGCAGATAGTAGGGCATCATGAGCGTGAGGGCGGCCGACACGCCGAAGTAGGCCACGAAGCAGATGAGCAGCGATGCGACGATCCCAACGGGGATGGCCCGCTGAGGGTTCTTCACCTCCTCACCTGCAGCCCGGGGGGATGGACGCGATGCCGTTTTTCAAGATCAAAATAGATTAATAATAGTGAGAGTAATGATGTGCAATTAGTAGCGGACGTTACTATCAGTATTATATTTCTGCATTACCTACCAGTGCGTGACTTGAATATCGTTTTCCTCGAATGCATTTGCTGCTCAGTGTCTGTAATGTTTACGATTTATCCGCTGCTGTAGCTTCCTTTTCTTTTCTCGCCATGATCCTCCGCGGGTCATTTATAAATCATCTTAAGGCTGAACGTTTCTTTTCCGCGCGCACAAATAGTATCAATCAATAGTACCTGTGGAATTCGCGTGGCGAGTTGCTAACACGAGACATCATCATGGCCAACACCGCTGATGCCCATAATATATATTTTTTTGTTATATCGCATAAATATAAATGTGTTTGGTTTAACACGTAGGCTATCGCGACCAATATCCATAATAGAGATTTTGGGTTATATCGCATAAATATATAAATGTGTCGTTAAGACCAGCCACCACCCGACACAGCCAACTAGTAAGGGTTGTCACGTAAACAGAACGTGCCAATTAGTCACTAGTACAGCACACCAGTGTGTTGGAGAGCCAAACCACAACATTTACAAACTGAGTACGACGTTTCGTCAGTAATTATGACTAGCTTCATCAGGCGACAGCCAGAAACTTGTCTGTCGACACATTAATATATTTACGCGATCTAACCCGAAAAACCTACTATTATGGATAAATGTGTTTGTCAAGTAAATAAAACGTGCCAATTAGTTATTACTTCAGCAAACGCCGGTGGCAAAATCGCCTGATGAAGCTGTGTTGTAATCACCAGTGAAACGTCACGGTACTCAAATTGTAAACATTGCGGGTTTACTCTCCAACACACCAGTGCGCTGAAGTAGTAACTAATTGGACACGTTTTGTTTACGTGACAAACCTTACTAATTGTCTGCATTGGGTGGTGGTAGGTTAACGACACTTTATATTTACGGGATCTAACCCAACCCCCCCCCCCCCCCCTTTATTATGGATATTGGTCGCGAAAGCCTACGTGTTAAACCGCCAATGCCACCAATGTCCACCACTGCACCTCATTACCAAACGCTGCTACACAGGAGAGATGCACAACGACCTCCAAGATGCGCCCAGACTATCTCCCACCATCTATGGTATTTAGCCAGTTATTGTTGAATTGTTGTTGCTAGATCCCAGATTATGGGATATATCCATCACGTTTTTTTTGGGGCATTTTCTGCATTGCCTCTACTTGCCTAATCTCGTTACTTTCCTGTCACAGAAATAATGTAATATTTCTTGAAAAATATATGTTTTTGTATTTTGAAGCGTAATTAATCTTCTTGATTAGTTTTTATTCACATTTGTAATATATTATTAAGTTAGTCTATATGTAAAAAAAAAATTATTGTGCAGTTCATTTGTTCACTGTTGTATGGGCAAATAATCCCTGTAGCAAATCAGACAACCAAGAGGAACTTGGCCTCAAGAGGCCTTGACACAGGTCTCCACCTAAATCCCACGCAATTCCGATCTGGTCTTGCATTAATTATTTTAGCGATACCTGCACTGATAAATAGCAAACAAAAGTCACAACACGTTTGTCATGAACACCGTGGCCCTAAAGAAAAAGTATATATGAGGCAACGTTTCGGGCAATAACCCTTCTTCATTGCACACGAAGGAGGGCCATTGGCAAAATTCCAGACAGTGGGAAAAGTAAATGCTTGGTGAGATGGCGAAATTTTCGGGCAATGTCACACCGACGATGTACTTTTCTTTTCAAGGCCACGTGGCATTATTGACGGAACGTGCCGGACTTATTTTTTTTGCAGTCATAGCTATTCGGTCTCTTGCCGACGGGCGCCATCGCTACCGGTGGTGGCGATGCAGTCGAAGCCGATGAAGGCGTAGAAGCAGGTGGCAGCGCCCGCGAGCATCCCTGTCACGCCGAACGGCAGGAACCCCCCGACACCCAGCCTTGCCTCTGCGGGCGCTGACACATTCCAACTGCGGCGAGGAAACACGCCGAGGGGCGCCGCCGCGCCACCCGCACTCGGTTACGGGATCCACGGCGACGGTACCGAGCGGTTGAGCATTTGCCAGCCAATTGCAGGGGTTCGCGGTTCGAGCCCAGCGGCCGCTCCGATTTCATGCCATAGGTGTATTGAGCGTAAATACATTATTACGATTACAATGCGTTATGAGGTGGTGGCAATGATACTACTTGGCCTTGATAAGTGCATTTATTACCCATCTGATGGCCTTAAAAGGTCAGCCAATCAACTCTTTTATTTATATATATATGTACGGCCCATAGCATGCTTGCTCTTCCTCCAGTGCGCCACGGACTCCTGAAATGTTACTATTTATCTCAGTATGCGTCTTCACTCAGACACGCGAGTCTCATCTCGTCGCAGTCCATTGCATTTTTGCTCTTTCACGGGCATTCGCTGCCATGTCGCACTTGATCATTTTCGTCCACTTGTAGGCATTATTGACAAAAAATATATTTTAAAAAACGTCAAACGCTTTCGTCCACAAATATTTGTCATCAACGATTTCCTTAGCAGCTGTTAACGCCGGCACTGCTCCCGACAGCCACGTGAATAACATTGTGGGGCACGTCCAGGCTGCCCATCTGTCCATCTGTCGGTCTGTCCAACCACTGCCTAGGGCGCAGTTCATCTGTCGACTTGCCTGTGCGAGTTGGTGATGTTGGTGATCTCCTCGGGCACGATGGCCCAGTTGTGAATGTCGCCCTTCACAAAACCGGCCACCACCACGAAGCACAGTACCAGCACGTTCACCACCGTGAAGATCTTGTTCACCCATGCAGACTCCTTCACACCAAACGACAGCAAGCCTGCGAAGGCCGAATACGGACGCCGACGCTTTTGAATCGAATTGAAAAACTCAACGTGTCCGTCAATAACCCGGCATATGATATTAGTTATTGAAAACGAATTTCTTTAGAAATGCTTTTTGTGTTTGGTTTATTGTCCTTCCATCACACCTCCAATTATCACGGTTGGCTACATACTGGTACGAAAGAAGTTCAACGTACATACACAATCGCTCAGCTTGCGCCACTACTGGTGAGAGTGTGTTTGGCCTATTCTTTCACATTGGCCAGATGTCTCGGAAGATGTGGAAGTACCCGCAATTTACCCCACCGCACGTGACCTGTCGATTGACTGTGGTTGAACCCATTGACATCGCTGAGTGGACAGAGGAAGGATGGGGGGATTTAAGAAACTTGCACTATTGTTTCACCTGCCGCACCTGGAGATGGAATCGAACCGGCAACCTCTGGATTGCAAGTCCACTATGCGAACGATTACACTGCGGCAGTATTATAGTTTACTACTGAATATTGAATACGTGGTAAATTGAACTAGCAATTTTTTTGACTAATTTAGAAGGTCTATCGTGCAACATTCATTATTATTAGGACTCTCTTTCAGGAGGATTCCTGCCAAGTTGTGTTGCTATGTATAATCCCAAATTTAGTTATTTGCAGGTAATTTCAGCATCAGATGTGTGGCCAATACCAGTTACATTCTATTTATTTTAGCTCTGAGAGAAAATCTTAGAACCCGGAGGAAACCCATGCAGAACAGAGGGAGAGTGTACCAACTTCACACAGTAAGGCGCCTGATTCAGAAATGGAACCAAGGCGGTTCTTGCTGTGAGGCACGGGTGTCGCCACTGCACCACCACCACCCTGCCGCCCTCGCGACGTTTTGAGCTTCGTTTGGCAACTCTCCACTTGTGGCTCGACGCCGCACGAAGGTTTTTGGTGCACGGCCGGGTTGTGGCGTCAGTAGGGTTTGGTCACCCCTATCGAAACCCCATACCTGCAAGGAGGAGGATGATGAAGGCAGCAAAGACATCTGGGTAGGAGGCGAGGCCCGGCAGATTGATGCCCGCGTTCGTCTGGAAGAAGGTGCTCATCGGGCGGCCAATCATTCCGTCAAACGTGGCGCTCCATGCCCTCGCGACGCTCGACGTGCCTGGATAGACAAAATGAAAAAGCGTGACAGTTGACGTTTTGGGAGCTGGCCATTGTTCAGAGCACATGCGGTGGGATTCATCCAGGGGATCTCTAGAACCCCTCTAGAGGGGATCTCTAGAACCCCTCTAGAGGGATCTCTAGGATAGCGGTGGGTCCTTCATGAATAAGGTGTTACGAAGCAGCAGTCCCTTAAAGAGCCACCGCATGCGGTTCCAGAGCCGCAGGTTGCACATCCCTGAGCTGGTCGGTCCATGCCTCAGTTGCACGGTGGGGAAAAAGGGATGGAAGTGTACTGGCCGCCTTGAGTGTAAATGTGCGCTGCCCTGCTGCACGCACACCCGCTTACCGATGACGTAGGCGAGGATGAGGTTCCACCCCGTGATGAAGGCGAGCAGCTCCCCCACCGTCACGTAGCTGTAGAGATACGCCGAGCCCGTCTTGGGCACGCGTGCGCCGAACTCGGCATAGCACATGCCGGCCATCACCGACGCGAGCGCCGCCACCAGAAAGGAGAGCACGATGGCTGGGCCAGAGTCCTCGCGGGCCACGGCGCCGGCCAGCACGTAGACGCCGGCACCCAGCGTGCTACCAACGCCCAGCGCCACCAGGTCGACCGTAGTGAGGCATCGCGCCAGCTGCTCCTCGCCCTCCACCTCGCCGCTGTCCGAGAGGGCCTTGCGACGGGCCAGGCGGCCCACAAACGAGAGGACCGACGACGTTCCACACGCGCCAATGGTCATGGTCGCGACTGGAGGAGACAGAGAGGAGGTCAAAAGGTCGTGGTCACTTATATCAAAGGCGTATCGGTGGTATCGGAGTACCGAGCAGGGCTGCCTTGATACCACTTTTCACAATACGATATCAAATTTCACGATATGACGATTATTGCACGATACCCGTTCTCTGTAACTTTGTCATTGTATTTGATGTTTTCATAGTATTGTTTGTGTGTTTCTGTCCTTCCAGTACAAATGTAAGGTGCCTTAATAGTTCTTCAACTGCAATTCACTCTACGCAAGTCTGCTGTCAGTCTTTCACTCATTGTAACCTTAAAATATATAACACTTATAACGCACATGCTGTCAATTATAAAAAAAAAATTACTAGAAAAATGATGGCATCATAATTTTCCATATTTTTTAAAAATGGGTTATAGCTATTTGGCCAGCAGGTTTGCACATTGGCAACACTCGTGCCTCACAGCAAGAAGGGCCTGGGTTCGATTCTCAACTCGGGGCGGCTTTCTATGTGTAGAGTTTGTATGCTCTCCCCATGTGCTTCGTGGTGTCCGTTTTCCACATGTAACTAAAAAATAATAATCAAAGTATAAACAGATATTGGCGAAACATCCCAATGCTCGCAATTTACACTGAAAATGACAGTACTCAGTTGTGATCACACACAGTAGCAGCATCGGCACCTACTACTGAGAATACTGGACAGGACCCTCTTGAAAAAAACAAGTGTAAAATAACGTAATTATATTTTATTATGTTTTTCTTGAACCCGAATTTGCAATCATGACAGAGGACACATAAAACATACATTAAGGGCTTGTATAGAGCACCATGGTGGTGAGATGTTAACGACCTCGCCTGGTATATAGGAGGTCGTTGGTTAGATCCCGACCCTGACGCCTGTATATTTGGAGTTTGCATGTCTGTCTCCCCATGGTGGCGTGGATTTTTCTCCAGGTCCTCCGGTTTTTCCTTCCACATTTATCATCAACATCACGCGTTTAGAGTATTTGGCTGCTGCTATGCATTTCACATGATAATCCACTTCGTTGAGCTAGCATGTGGTTACGGGTCACTTCTGAAAAAGAGCCATATAGCTCAGTGGGCCTTACCTGTTAAAATAAATACAATCATAAATCCAGGAGTTATGGCGTCAGGGTAGTTATTTCTCCCCAAGCACGGGCTAGTGATTCGCATCGAGTTCCTTATCTCACCAACGCGGGGGTGAGGACTGGGAAGGGGAAGTGGGGGGGGTATGACGAAGTTATTGGGCGAAATAAAAAAAAGAAAAGAGAACTTGAGGACAAAATAACGCAATTAATAAATATCCACGCGCCCAGAAGGAAATTGAAGCAAGACAACAAGCCGTCAGATTCATGTTGGTTTCATTACGAAGGCCCTTTGGCTTGCACGTGTTTGCAATAGTCCCAGCAGCTCGAGGGTTATGTGACTTTCATAGATGAGTGCGCAGTGCTGTCTGAACTTGCGTAGAATGGAGGTCACGTGCGATGGCATGTGCCGTCTAGCTTCATTCAGAATAGATATATATTTGAGTTTCGTGAGCTGATTCTAGGTGCAGATTATTGGAGTTTATGTTATAATAGTGTCTGTTTTCTGATAAATAGCATGCACGTTATCGTTCAAAGACAAATATCCCCCGTTGCCTTAATAGACTGTTGGGGTAAGTGCTGTTAGCGAGCACCTATGAAGGCCGAAATGGCACACGAGAGGGTGAGTGGCCAGCACCACGCCCTACCGCCTTTGTCTCGCCAATGGTGATATCTACACTTGTGCCTCATTGCTAGAAGGCCATAGCTTCAATTCCCAACTCGGGCGCACGTCTGTGTGGCACATGTATGTTCTCCTGTTCTGCAATGGATTGCCTTCAGTTTCGCCAGTTTCCTCCTACAGCTAAAACAACAGAGTCTAGAGACTAGGTGAGGCCTTCCTGGGTAAACACGCCTAATACTGTGAATGAATTTAAACCATCTACCAACAGAGGGATCGGGTCAATTCGCGATATAGCTTTACAGTACCACGTAATGTAATGTGGAGGAACAGTAGAGAAGGCTTTTAGAATAGGAAACTGAAAGTATAGAATTACAATCTAGATTTGACTTTATACCTACGTGACTTTACCGAAAGAACCAAAAAGTATATAATTACAGTTTAAAATGAAACAGACCGCTAGTTTACTCTTTACTTTTCGATTATTAAACGTTGATGATGTGTTGAATGAAAGTGGGCCAACGATTGTCACTGGGAAACCAATAGCAAGAAAACCCATCCGATATATCGCTTGCAATACACTTAAGATGTATCCCATGCGAACGCGCGGTCAGTGTCGGTTATTAATGTTGTTATACGTACAAATATAAACAGCGCAAGCGTGTTACCTTTAAAGCCCAGCTTGGAGATGAGCTCTTTTTTCCCCCTTGGCAAAAATTCAGTTGTGCAACAATTTGCTGCTCAGCTTAGTTGGGATCCTCATTAATCATCGATGCGACTCACAAAATATCTCGACGACACGTGGAGAAACCGTTTAAAGAGCCGAAACATTGAAACCAATCACGGAGCAGGGCGGCCACGATATCAATGGCGTGACGTTAGACTTTTGACACATTTTAGATTGGCCGACACAGAGTCGGATGGCACGTCCCTTTTAAAGCTGTGGGCGTGCGCGTTGGGTGGACGGGACGTGTCCTGCCAAGTGCTGCCCGGGACACAAATAACGGAGGACATTATGCAATGAGGCCAATTTCTTATTTTACATTTGGCAATGCCTGGACGCATCACTCTTACACCCCGCCCCCTCACCACACTCCCCGTCCCAGTGCTGCTGGATAAGTGTTTTTTTTACAAACACTCCGTATCCCGTCATGAACTCCTTCGCGTTCACCATAAAAAACTACAACGTTTCGATCGCAACACAAGCGTTCGTCATCAAGAAAATGATGACTGCTTGTGGTGCTATCGAAACGTTGTAGTTTTTTGTATTTTTGTTATTTCTTTCAACCTATCTACGTGACTTTACCGAAAGACCCAAATAATATGAATTCCTGCAGTCACGAGAGCTTTAAGTCAAGATTACCATCAATCCTTCACATTCATGATCCATCCACTGCTGATCATGTCGTCGCTCTCCATCGCTCATGGCCTTGCGATGCACAGTCACATTTAAAGTTATTTTTTCATTTTACAATGTCTCTAATTTGTATTTGCTTCCAGTTACAATGCAATTCATGTATTCCTCTTTCTAATAAGGACATGCAGATGAAAATAATATTATATCATCGGAGAGCAAACACACACGTTGATTAGAGCCAAAGCGATGACTGGGCAGGGCAGAACGCTTGAAGGGATGATGGCCGTGTCGAGACTAACAATGGTGCGAGTGGCAGCGAAACACGCGCTTCTGCTGGCCGTCTGGAACGCTCTTCCTTCTGATATTAGAGTTGCCACTGGAAGCTATGCACTTTTAAATAATCGAAATTGACACATTCATTTACTCAGAACTGCTTTTTTTGTTTAGTTTGTTGTCCTTCCCCGCACCTCAGATTAGCGCGGTTGGCTACGTATGGTGCAAACGAAGTTCAACATTCATACATACTACCCAGAGAACTAACACTGCCCAGAGACTCAACATTGCCCATAGACTCAACACTGCACCTCCGATTAGCACGGTTGGCTACGTACGGTGCGAAAGAAGATCTATATAAGTGTAGAACTTGAAATATCACGCGCCACGCGTTCTGTTGCTAGGCCAGCGAGCAGAGTACAGTGGGAGCATCTGAGGGCACGGTTGTTGTTGTCGTGGCATTAAGGGGTGGTCGTTAAGAGACGCAACAGGTGTTAGGGGTGACTGAGGACGCAGGCCGGTGATTGGTCAGGAGGGTGAGTGGATAATGACCGGCGCCGGCCTGGCGGTAATAACATGGTCACGTGAGGCTGGGGGCCTGGGGGCGAGTAGCAAAGCGGGGGATGAGATAATTGATTGGGTCTGATTGGTGCGGGAATAAAGGGCACAGCGTACCGGAGAGACGGGAGTCTTGGTTGGGATTGGAGCTGGAGTGGTTGGTGCCCGGGACAGAGACAGAGCAGCAGTGAGCAGGGATAGATACGATAAGAGTGGATAGAGAGAACACAGTGTACGGTAGCAATGGGTAGAGAGAACACAGTGTACGGTAGCAGTGGATAGAGAGAACACAGTGTACAGTAGCAGTGGTAGCAGTGGACGGAGTGAATACAGAGTAGGGTAGCAGCGGAGTAACGGACCGTGGGAGAGAAGGAGAGTGAGCGAGCGAACGGGGAGACATGGAGTGTTGTTAATGGTGGGTTGTGTATCGGAGCGAACGGAGAGACACGGAGCGATGATGAGGAGGTGTGAACTCTACACGTAAATAAACGAGACGAGAAAAACAACGAGCGTACGAGTCCTACATAAGTACTTGCATGCAAGGGTCCACCACGGAGATGGAGTGATGATATCATGTCGTGTGCGAGAGCTGAATGAATTGTTCACGCAGGATGGTCAGGGATGGTAGCTACTTTTAGGGGGGGGGGGGGTGTGGCTCTTCATCCAGCAGTGGATAGAGCATGGCTGACAATTGTGACGATGAATTTTCGCACCGATTTGTAAGAGCAGTGCCTAATTTGGGTCTGAATTCTGTTCCGGTGATTATTTCTGGACGCCGCATGAATCTCGCCTTACATGAACGAAAATTACACTGACAAGAGGAGTGAGTCGATTCACTCAATTTGTAAAAAAATAAGCCTTTTCATACCATTTTAGCATGAATTTAGGTATTATGATACATGTGGGTAGTACCTTACGCCAAAATAATCCCAACCCAACTGTCAGCCAAGCCTAGCAGCATTCCGGAAAATATAGAGCGAGAAATGAATCCCTGTGCAAGATGCATATTTATTATACAGCCTTCGACAGCAGCAGCTGTCCAATCCACCAAGCGCTGAGATCCATTCTGGTGGAACTCAGCGGGCTCCACGATCCACAGAAGAGCTGTAACCAACGAATACCCGGATAGATAAAAACCAGAAGATCCAGCTGGGTTTGATCTTCCACGAAGCTCATGGTCCACCCTAACTGGCATCCACTACACAAACCATGGCAAATGCGGACACCTCATGCACAATTGTAAATAAAACAAACTCTCCAATGTGCGACTGTGGTCATCCAGCACAGACCGTAATGACGTATGAACGACGCAATGCCCCAATTCACAAGTACAAAGGAGACATCGCATCGATACACTACTCTGCTGCTCCTGCTAACGCGGTTACCTGGGCTTGGCCACCTGAATGTGAAATTGTAAGTTGATGCTCTGCATCTACATCAGCAGCCATACGAAAGAAGAAGATCCAGATAGATTTTATCCTGTGATTGAACATTTTTGACATACCCAGTCCTTGCCCTGTTGGTAGCTATTATTTTTGTGTGAATTCTTAGTTGGGGATTCGTATTTTCCATCAGCCATAACGATAATTATTGTCCACTTATGATCTAAGCGTTTATTCTGATTTGTCTCGAGTTACACAAACACTATTTTTGCGATATCCATCCTTGGATGACGATCCACGCGATTGGCCACCGCTGCTTTACAGGGACCACGTGTTTTTTTATGGCAGGCAAATTACGATGGGATATTGAGGCAAATTGATGGTGCCTCCAAGGTTTAACGGGTCGGGCCAAGGCACGTGGTATGGAGCCGGTTTGCTTTCACGCTCCCAGTCATATGAGCTCTGTGTGGCTTTGTGAGTCAGAGCTGTTACTTATCGCTGTGGCTCAACGTGCACACGCAATCTGTGTTTCGTGAAAGCACACATACACAACATTAAGATCAATCTTTCTTCACATGTCATTCTCTATTCACTGCTTTAAAATACCCGTCACCATTGATGTGTTGCAGTATACTGTAGTATAACAACATTTACATTATAATGTCCTTTATTTACTAAGGAAAGGTCTCGCTGAGTCCCAAGACTTTGTTTTCAGGAGGGTACTACTTCTGCTGCTACATTGGAATATTTGACCAATGCCAAAACCCATCCACATGAGGGGATAACAACCTCCAAGTTGCACTAGCATAAATGCATATTATTGGTTCTTTCGGTAAAGTCACGTAAATAGAAAACAAAAAAACCCACGACATTTCGATCGCAACACAAGTGGTCTTCTTCAGGTGGCAATCCATAGAAAGACTGAATCATTGAATCTGTTATGTGGACTGGGGCCATTGATGTACAGACAGATCCTGGCCACCTTACAGCACCATGCTTACAGCCGCTGGCAAGCACTGATGGTCACCCTTCCCAAGCACTAACCAGCCTCAGCTCCGCTTAGCTTCTGAGTTACGAATTGATTGAGCACATTCATGGCTATCCTGCTTGTTGGCAAATGTAAACATTTGTATCAGCACCCTCCCAAAGCCTTTGCAGCATCTCATGGCTCATGGTCCTGCTATGCAACAAACCACCAAACATCTGCAGACGAGCCGATCTCATTACTCCATCTCTTGGGCGCGTTTCCTACTTAATCTCCCGCTCAGTAAATCAGTCTCAGGCCATCGTCCATTCTAGCGCCGTATCTTGTTAATAGCCATAATTAGAGTACAGTAGGTATCTAACCCGTCTATGTTCTCTAATCCACGTGGTTGCTCTTTCTGCCTCGCAGTTTAACCCCAAACGTGCGTCGTGCCCCGTGCTAAATTTGCCGACTTTTCAGCCTCTGTTCCGTCCTTTTTTAGTGTCCACGTTTTTTTGTTGATCTCGGGTTTGTGACAATTTCACTGCATAGCCAAAGCTGAACAGAGCACCCTCAGTGTAATCGCGCAACAACACGACATTTAATAAAAACTCAAGTGACCTCCGACAGTTGCGAAATAGCGTTGCGATCGCACAAGCGTCCGCTTGCGATCGTTTTGCAATCGCGTGACCCCACCCCCCATGAGCATTGCAAGTTGAAACGGTTGGACCATGAGCATTGCAAGTTGAAACGTTCGGTCACTAGTTTAAGCAACTCTAAATGCTAGTGGCCATATCGGGAAAAAACGTGATTCTCAAAACCAAAAACGCCACTCCTCGATTAAAAACATGGATTTTTGCCAAATATCCTAAATTTAGCAGTAAAACAAACTAACATTGAAGCTCCTGGGTAAATAAACGTCGTCGTTACGTACAAATGAAGTCTTGTTTTGGTTAAAAAAATGAAAAATACACATAAATATGGCACAATGTTCGCTTATCTAACTCACTGGGAGCGAACCCAGCGAGGCGAGTTCTATTCCCGCTTACAGCCAACACCAGCGACGATTATCTGAACTGGTCCTGCCCCCCCTAAGTCGACTCAGCCTTAAATTAATACCTGGTGTGGCGTGTAAACATCGCCACTGGGGAGACAAAGGCGTCCGGGCGTGGTGCTCACCACCCAACTCCTCGTGCGCCAGAGGTGCCCGCTAACAGCACTTGCCGCAACAATTTGTTAAGGCTATGGGGGGGGGGTTGTCTTTGTATACATACACAACTGTCCACGGTGGCGTAACATAATTGGTT